AGTCACAGTGATATATGTGTAATGAGACAGTGAGATTGTTGGCAGGACTTTTAAGTAGATTTCCAAGTAAACATACTTTATCTGGAGGTGTTTCTCTGCCTTTATAAATAGCTGTTGGACATTGCTGCCAAATGAAACACTCAATGAGAGTGGTCGCACAATGAGGGAGTTATAAGAAGGAAGTCTTTAGGGGAGGCAGAGGGAGATCAGAAAGCTGCACAAACAGAGGAAGAAAGCCCCAAACCACATCAGAACAACACTAAAAAATAAAAGAAAAAGGCTCTCCTGGAAAAGTATTCCTGCAACCAAGAAGAGAAAAGGTATGAACGTAGAGACAAGCAGATTAGATGAAGAAAGGAGAGCTGGTGCTGTCCTGACTGTGGCTGCTGGGCAAAGCAAACTCATTCACAGACTCACAAACAGACAAATTGGTATTTTTAGAGTCACATGGGTAGAAAACACCTTGTATAACAGCAATACTGACAACACATCACACAGGCGATGTGTCTCCCAAAGGAAAATGTTTGAGATGTTCTATTAATCTTTGCAATCAGAGGTGAGAAAGCGATGCATCTCCACTCAAGGCTGTTTTCAGTTTTTTTTATATTTAACACGTCTATTTTCAGGGTCTGTCAGAGCAGTGCAGCTCAGAGAAGAGCTGTTCTGTAATCACTCCCCGAGCAACTGGAACAACAGAGGATTTAAGGGTCGGGGCAGTAATGGGACGTTTTTGTGTGTCTATGTATGTGTATATTCAAGTGTGTGTGTGTGTGTGTGTGTGCATACAGCTGCCTTTGCTCTGGAGTCACAGTATTGTAGGGGTACGGATTAAGAAAATCACTCTATTTTTACATCCAGTCAAAAATGCTTCTGATATGAAAGCAGTAACTAAAGCTACGCAGGGACAAAGAGATAAAAGAGAACAGTCTTTACTGATGTAAGCTAATGTTTTCATCTCATATTATCACAGCATAGAGTGCTCCAGGAATGAGTCCTGAAACCCAGATGTGAGTTAGCATTTTAGCACCCTGGTTCCCTCGTCTCAAAGTCAATGGGTGGTTTGGTTAGATGACTGAAATCAGGTCTGTGGTTAACACAAGCTTAAGAGACTTTTACGTTTTGTTCTACGACATAAAATACATTGGTAAATAGCTCACTTGTGAACTTTGAAGCTTCTACGTGTCTAAAAAAAAAGGCAGCTAAATGTGACTACAGAACATCATTGTGCTGAACCCAGCTTTACAGCCTCATTGTGGGGTTGACATTAAGACATCCGACCATGGTGTAGTTTGTTTATAGCCTAACATTAGCGTTTTACTTCTAAAACAGTACATAAGACACATACACCCCAACGTCCAATAAAGTGAGTGGTGGACCGAAGAAAGAAGAAAGGCAGAGGAAGTCTGAGGAAGAGCTGTAGGCTCGAAACATCACTCTGCATTAAAATCCCTCTAAATGGGAGATGCTCGGTGTGTGGATGTATTTGTTTTCTGGCTTTTTACTTCTGGCAAATGCATTTGGGCTTCAAAAATCATAAAAGTTGTGTCAATTTATGAAGATTATCTTGCTGAACAAAACATGGAAGTGTCATTTGCCACAGAGCTTATTTTCGGCAATAATCCAGCATCCAAGGGAAAAATCCCTTAGGCTATTTGACGAAGGTACCAGGGCGAAGCTAACTTGTGCTGCAGCCTACTGGAGCACTCTTTAGCCTACAAATCCAGAAACTCTGCCACATATGGAGCCCTAAAACTGACTGAATGTTCTAAAATATTAACAGACTCGTGACAAATATAGCAATATTGTTGATTAAATAGTGTTATTATAATGGCGTGTAACAGGAAATAGGCTTTATGCTTTTCCTTCAACTCCCAATCAGTTGGTAATAAAAAAGAAAAACATTTTTTCTTGACTATTAATTAGCGATTTGGCCTACTCCTGTACTAGTAAAGGCATTTTAGCAGACAAGATCATGGTTACACAGCTAGCTACTACTACTAAAGTTCACAGACACCACCAGTCTTCAGCTCTGCTTTAGCTTCTGTTAGCACATTATTACCTCAGCAGAAATCAACACAAACATTCAATATTATCAGCAGAAAAAAATCAGAGGAGCTTTCATCTCATAATATCTGATTATTGTCAGTGATGCAGAGAGAGATCATAATGAAGATATTCCATTCTGAGTCTCATAAATCTTTCCATTTCATTGGGGCAGTGACTCATTGATTCATGTGTTTCAAAGATTCAGTGATCAGCACCACATTCAGAAACAGTGCAGAGATCCAGATGTGACTCTATCACTGACTTTTGTTGAAACATGAATCACTGCTCTCTCTGTATCTGTAGTCTATCACATCCCTCTAAACACAGACTGCTAACTTACTGCGGGGGAATCTTGGAAAAAAAACATGAATGAAACTATCTCTGCCTTGTTTTCTGTTAAATACATGGCCTTCAAATCCACAAACAATGATGCCACTGTGTCATCTTGGAGCAGACTTTCTAAAAGTCTCTCATGGTATTTCATGGAAGCAGAGTTCCTATTTAAAGGAGTATCCACTCCTCAGCCCTGTCACTTTTTCTTTAACGATAGGAACAACAATCAACATGCACTGCATAGTTTGCCAACCCTATTTGTACCTCCAGTCCAAAGGAAATCCTCACTTGGCCCCGATGCCAGGATCGAGGGCTATAGCCCACAACAGTGAAGCCACTTGTCAACAAGACAAACACAACAGAATACAACATAGGCTACAATACAACATTCACCCATAAAGAGAAACCAAACCCAACATGGACAAATGAACCCCTGACTAACTGCAGCTAGCAACATTACAGCCTGTTGCTTGGTTGGTACCAAAAAATGTGGCTGAGGTTGCTGCTAACAGTGGCTCATTAGCAGAGTTAATATGCTGAGTTTCATTGTTTCAGCTCATTCTCCCTACATTCACAAAAGTAGACATTTTTTGGTTGTTGTGTCATTGTAACAGTGCAAACAATACTGTAACAGCACCATTTTAGACCCAATAAACAAACAAAAGCCAACACAAAGCAAACATGAGAATGCTAATATTAGCCTGGACCCCCAGCAATCACTTTGTGGAAGCTAGAGGATTCACAGTAAGACAAAAGAATATTAGCCAGGCAGGCCAAACAAAGGGGTTTCGTGAATCCTTGGATAGCAAGAGAATGACAGATGCAATGCTCCCTATGACTGGCTAGTACTTGTCACCTTTGTTGGTTGGACTGATTAAATTTATGCAAGAGGAGAGGGATTCATTAGGGTTAGGATAGGAATGTCAGGGAAAGCCAATCAGAGGCAGAATAAGGCAGAGTATGGCCATTTCTTCGCTATTGTAGGATTTGCAAATTCACTTCTAAGCCTACATGCTGTGTGTGTGTTTGGTGGGGGCAGGGCATCTATTAGCAATGGTTGTCAAAAGTTGGACTATAAGCAGAAATATGTTTTTTTAAGCTGTTACTGCGGGCCAAATTCACAAAAGGATTGCGTGGCTTTTACGGCCGCTAAACCGGTAAAAATGGAGCAAACAGATACCGTCTAATTCACAAAGCACGCGCAGGGGGTGAAATGCTCCACTAACTGCGCTGCCAAGCAGATTGCGTCTCGGTGCTCCGGTGTTATTTGCACGTATTTAAATGAGGTAATATGCATATATTTGGCGCAAAAATTGCCCCTTTCTATGCAAATGAGCCTCATTGATAAACAACGTCTAATTCACTAACACCAGCACTAATAGCCACACGCAGTTTGAGTGAAGTAAATAATGTCTTTAGAAAGCTGGTGCAAACTGGGCGCTCCTCTGTGGAAGCCTCTCGCCCAGACTTTCCAGTGATCGTGGCAGCAGTGATCGTCTGTTAAATCAGTCTGTAAATAATATTTTGACATTATTATTATAATAATCATTATTACTTTAATGGCATCCGAAGATACTGATGCGTTGAACAGGTGACAGTCTGCGGTCGTTCTCAAAATGCACTTCTGTCACGCACTTCAAAAGCAATTTTCAATAATTTATTTTACGAAACGGCGGAAACAAACGTGAACAAAAACGGTTCCATAATTCATATTAAATTCAAAAGATAACGAAAAAACAGCTACAAGTGAGAGGGAATAGTGGTCAAACTTGGTCAAATCCACAGCCTCAACCCATCCGACACTGTTAGACTGACTCACCAACAGACATCACTACATGAGGGTATACAGTATTCAGTACTTTGCCAAACACTTACCATGCCATGCCATGTGGCTAATTGCAATCAGGGGCAAATCAGGGGCAAACTGCACTCAGCTGCCAAACTTTGTGGGCGTGTTTGCGCTGGTATATCATTAGCACAATATCCTTTGTGAATAGGACGTTAAGACGGAGCAAACTGCGGGTGCAAATGAAGTGCAATTCAAGGTGCTATCAGCGGCCGCAGTTCATTCTTTGTGAATTCGGCCCTGAGTGCTTTTTATGATTTTTTTTCTGCATCTATAAATGCAAGATACCTTTAAGGTCTAGTGTGTAGGATTTAGTGACATCTAGCAGTGAGGTTGCACATTGCAACCAACTGAAACTTCTCCTGTGTGCCAAGCGTGAAGGAGAACTATGTTGGCCAACGCAAAAATGCAAATGGCCCTTTAAACAGATAGTGTTTGGTTTGTCCTTTCTGGGCTACTAACATGGCAGACTCTGTGGAAGAAGACCCACTATAGATATAACGGCTCATTCTATGGCTATAAGCTTATTCTATGATCGTTTCTTACCAATGTAAAGTGTCTTTGAGTACTATGAAAAGCACTCTATAAAAAAAATGTATTATTATTAATAACTAGAACACAATGATTATAAGTTACATGTGATCATACACTAATGAAAACACTGTTATGAACATTATATTTCATCTCTGCTATATATCATCCTAAATCCTACACACTGTCATCATCAGTGTAAACTTTACTCCACCGCTGGAGAACAACTGCAGCATCTACGTACCTCTAACTCGACCAAAGCAGCAGCCACATTTGCTGAGCAGTTTTCTGAACAGGTGCTGACACCCACACCCTCGCTGGTGGTGACCCCCTCTCATGATGATCCACTCCTGCTGCTAGACCCAAGACTATCAGAAGCAGGCATCATGCTGGATGGACACACACATATAAGCACATGCACACACAAACACACAGACACACACTATTCCTGTAGTAATACCCTGAGGATAGCGGAGTAAAACTGCACAGAGAGCTCCAAAGTCATAGTCCAAATCTGAGTAGAAACCCCTGGGATGAAAAAATGCTGCTTCTGTCCCATGATTTAAAGAACAGTGGGGAAACCCATAGAGACAGCGCTCTCCTCTGCTTTCGAGCCTCTCTGTGTGGCCAGATAGTGGACAAAGATTATGAGAGGGACCAAAAGTAAGTGAGGGAGCGACAGAGAGGCAGGGAATAGGAGGGGCTGTGAGGAGGGAGGGGGTGGTGGCTAACATGCTCCACTGCTGTGCCAGCATCTGTTTCCCAGTCCCACCTCCTCGCACGCCTCTCCCCTCCCCTTCTGCTCCCTCTCCTATCTCTCTTCACACCTCCCTCATCAGCTTCTCTTCTCAGTGGTCGCTCTGTGAATGCAATGAATGCAATGACAAAAAGGGATTTTTCCATTAAAGCAAAATTTCAACCAGTAAACTTCCTCTTAAACCATACAGCAAGCTAAATTAATAGAATATAATGACAGATTCACACACTGTACATACTGTCACAAGCAAAGACCCACTAACGCACAGCTGCACATGTGCAAACACAGAACAAGCACCCAAATGTATATATTTTAAGTCAGTGGTTCCAAACCTGGGGGGCTGGACAAAGCTGCTGAACTGAAAAAATGAAGCCAGCGCACAAGTGCCAAAAACTGCAGTTCCTCTAATGGCCACTTGAGGCTGGCCCTAAAAGCGAATCACTCCCCATTGACCCTCATGTTAATAGAGATGGGATTTATGGCTCTTTGAAGGGAGCTGGATCTTAGAGATCCGTTCCTTTCAAAGAGCCATTCAAAAGACTGGCTCATTTTTACATTTATTTATTTTAAGAAGCCAGCCTGGGGGTAACTCACTTTATCCTGGAAATAATCACTGGGGGGAATGATGGGGTGAGATTTGGATCAGAATAATTCAAACTCAGATATTCTATTGGTGGAATATCTGAGTTTGAATTATTCTGAAATATTGATTATAACTTCATTTGACATGTGTGGACTAGATTTTAAAGTCTGATCTGGATTCATTGTAAATATTCGACAAGGTGGCGCCATATCCCTCTGCTTTGACAGTGAGATCACTATTTTGGATTTACCCTTTGTATAAAGTGTGTGTGTGTGTAAATAAAGCTACCTTGGCTTATGTTATTCATGCAACACCTAAAAACTTATAAATACACAACAAAAAACTAAGCAGGCTATGTTTTTTTTTTTTTTTTTTTACTGAGGCACTCATGTGAAGGCTGTGTGCACAACTCAGATGATGTCATGCGATATTTGCATATCAAATAAGCACCGTATGTGTACTCTGCTGCGCTCCTCCCCTTGTGCCTGTTCTCCGTCTCACTCAGTGGAGGAGCAAAGGAGGAGCTTGTGTGTGCATCTGTGTGAAACACATCGATTAAAAAACAAACAAACAAACAAAAAAAACACGAACGGCTCCCAACTGCGACTCGGTTCCCATCGTTAATGAGCCGTTCAAAAGATTCGGTTCGTTCGTGACCGTCACAACTTTACATGTTAAAATGCCCAACTTTACAGCACAATTAAACATGCTTACTACATGGTGCAAAAAACTTATTTGGTCTTTAAAGCTAATTTTAACATTTATGACACCTGTACAGGGGTGAATTTTTATATAATTCACCTGTTTACATTTTATTAAAGCTTAAAGTTACACATAATTAAGGGCGGGGCCACTTGAGTGACAGGATACAGTCTGTGGTAACAAGCTGTCCGTAAGGTGTCACTACAATTTGTGACTCAAATTCATACCTTGCTCCTACAGCTCCAACCTCTCATTCGAATGTAGTTACTTCAGGCTCCAAAAAAAAACACAAGACAGCCTTAATGCCAAACTCGAGGCTTCAAAAGTCCATAAACCAATGGGTGATGTCACGATGGCTACATTCATTATTTTATACAGTCTATGGTCAAGACTCCTCCAGGGGGCCACAAAGTAAATCTAAGGGGTCATTAGATGATAATCAAGTTTTAACCAGCGGCAGCAATGTCATGATGGCTGGTGTGGCTTTCACTTTGTCAGTCTGTGTGTGTGTCATCATGACAAAATGTGGTCCTGGAGACACTTTTTTTGTAGCGGGAACTACCACAGAAGCTGTTTTGAGAATTTTCAAGTGTTTATGTCTGTCTGTGGATAGATTTTATCAACACAGCTGTCATGTAACCACAATACAGACCAAATTTAAAGATGGCTGCGGTGCGAGTAAAGGGGGTTAGCATCATTAGGTACTACCCGCTGTCTCAGCCACCTTTATGTTTAGAAGTGTGTGCAGATAACCCCTGATTCATAGATATGCTCTGAATATTGTATACAGCTCCTTTAATCTTCCTGTTTCCTTGTGACACTGGATAATCCGTCTTTAGTTGAGCTGGCCACCAGGAATTAACATATGCAAACTGTACCAAGGGGTCATCGGTGGACATACTGTAGTTTCAGAGAAAATTCAAAAACCTTCCTTGGAAATTGACTTGACCTCTGCGTCTTTGCGGGTTTTATAGACAGACAAATTTAGAAGCGTGTGCACAAACACCACGACACTCCCCGTGTGAAGCTGAAGGTTTCTCTGTATGTAACTGACTGTATCACACTTTAACTTGAACACAGTAAAAGCAGCCGCACATACTCAGATGTATGCGCACTCACAGATGAATAATTAATCAAATCAGATCAGCAAACATGATCTATCATATGTTTTTTAAACTGGTGAAGACCCTCTCTCTCTGATCAATAAGGCAGCTGCCTGCTCTCCTTTGTCACCACAGGTACTGAAGCATTTGTGGATAAACCAACATGTGGAAACATCCGACACACAGAAAACTGAGCTGGCAGGATGGAGGCAGACCGATTTAATCTCAAAGCCAAGATTAAGCATTCATGACTAGATGATCTTCTGAGCGCAGCTGTCCAGGCTCGTAGCAGTCGGTAGTGTGATTCAAGGAGATTTATGCATAAACTCGTACGAACCCAAACATGGACAGAATCAGTGAAGAAGAAGAGGGGGGAAAAAGCAGCAGGAGGAAAATCTGTCTCTTCCACAGCTGCTGTTTCTATGTGACACACGTATATTAGACAGCTCCCCGAACACACACGGACAGATAAGCACACACTCCCGTCGCAGGTCGACCAACACAACCCTGGAATCTCAATCCACTGAGGACAGATTACAGCTATAAAAATATCAAAATGCTCTTGCTCTCTTGGCCATGGAGTTAAGCTTTTAAAAACTCTGCTGACATTATGATCCATGAGAGCTGAAAAGCACTGATCTCATCACAATGTGGGATTATTGTGTGTGCATGCATGTGTATGTGGGTGTGCATGTGTCTTATTAGCCAATATTTAATCATCAGGATAACATGGATAAATGTGCTTTTTGTGTTGGGGCTGCTTTTAGTCTTTAAAATCTAAAATTCATTTGTGATGTTTTGAGTGCAGAGTGAAACGTTTTCAGTTAAAACCCTGAACACTGCTCTTCCTTTCCATCAGATAGCTCCCCACTATGGATGACATTAGAGGTGCAGAAAGCAGTGAACACCAGTATTTCTCTACAGTCACTAAAGACAAGTACAGCAGATGAACCCACCTTTGCATCGTGCAGCCACACTGAACCTCCTGGCCCACCTGAACTGCGTCTGGATGTCCTGATTGTTTTCATCTGGCAACAGTCTCTCCTGGCTGCTGTCTGAACCCTTACACAAAAGAAAGATTAAACAGTTAAACAAGTTAAATAAAAACACATTGTCCTCTTTATCAGAAGCATTTATTTGTAGCTGTAATTAAATCTGAATATATGTGTGTGGCAGATTTATTGTAGGGGCAGGCTGGATTCAGTGGCGTGAGATAGTTATAGCGGGCCCTAGAGCATGCTATAAGGCACACACACACACACACACACACACACACACACACACCACTGGCAACTGTTTATAAAAATGCCAGAGGAATCTGTTTTAGGGAGCATTGCCACTTTTTCCTCCTATTCATCTCTCTTGTCTTTTTTTTATTGCCACTTTTCTGTTTAAAGGGCACGACTGCTCACTGGAGTTGCAGATGTGCGCAGCTTGTGCCTAAAGTAGCTACTGTATTGTATCGTCATGTCACATGATCAAATACAGACTTGACATTAGGCAACATCAAGGGTGCGCTCTGAATCGCATACTTTTTCTTTTTAATTTTAGTAGGTAGTGCAGCTGCCCTTAAAAAGTATGTACTGCTGCATGCAGTATCCACACACTTACTTCTTTCTCTTAACATTACGTCCTAAAATTTGACCCTCTTGCTTTTATAACCGCTATCTTGGGAATAAAACAAACGCCATTTAGCAAGTTCGCCAGAGACAGAGATCAACCCGGAGAACTCTGCTGTTGTTACCTTGCAATGTATATCAATTAACTTTAAAGTTCTAATTACACAGATTGTAGATTCTAATATATTACATTTACTACCATGAAATTACATCTGCATTTCTCTGTCATTGTTATTTTTCATAGTTAAGTCCTGTTGTTGTTGGTGATATTTAAGATTATTTTGTTCACTTAAAAAAAAGAATATTCCTATTATTACTATTTGACTGCTCATCAGTTACTTGAATGTGCTGTCATCCATCATTTGGACTTCTGACAGCTGTCAATCAGTTGTCAATTGTTTGCGGCTCAGTCGATGTGACGTATTGTCCACTGCACAGAGGATTGTGGGTCAGAATAGGCAGAAAAGCATGCTGGCTTGCATACTGCAAAATCCGATCTGATGAAGTAGAAGATCCTGGTATTTTTGGCATACTGCATCGCATCTGACATACTATGTATTGGGACATACGTAATCTTTTTCTGGCACACTATATTGGACCGCACAGCAACATACATGTTACCCAACATTCATTATTGCATGCCTGTATATGACAAAAATATCAAAGAAAAGACGAATATATATATATATATATTTCCAAATTTTTATAGTGTATGTAGAATAAGCCTTTAATTTTGTTACAGATTGCTACTGACTATTTACCCAAAAGAAAAGACATAGGGCATATAGCTCTCAAATGGCACCATTTTTAAGTTAATGTGATTTATTTTTTTTATAAACACAGGTGTAGTTCCAAGGTGGCAATCTGAATCATTTGCAAGGCCCCTTCACCCCACGGGCCCAGTGCAACCGCACTGCCTGCGCTGTCTATATTTACGCCCCTGGGCGAACCTAGTAGGACGGAAAGTGACTGAGCTAATTATACCATTTTTCCACTTTATTTCACCTCTGTCCAGCCCTCCATCTCTGCCTCAGCTTAAGTGGTTTCTTATCTTATCTTAGGAATTTCCCTGAGAGGACTAAACTGACCTGGAGCGTACAGCACAACATCAAATCCTCGGCCAAAGAAGTCTGATGCTGAAGAATAAATCAGGTTGATTTGATCTTAAAAGTTGCTCCTAATCTATAAAACACTAAAAAACAAACCAGGGCTTGATTTTTTTCTAGTTAAGTCCACAGAAAATGAGTCTAAGTAAGATGTTTTGATGGACTCACACTGATATGCACCTCGTTGTTTGTGCGTTTTCAAAATTAGAAAGTACTGCTACATAAACAGCAGCAAACTGTCAGCATGCTATGCTTTCTTAACACATGGCCAATGATAATTAAACTAAGTTCAACTTACCATCATCCCTGTTTATAAGACTAATAGTAATAATATAATGCCTTTAACTTATGTGCCTTTCAAAGTACTCAAGGATTGCTAACACTGCTGAAAAACAAGTAGCAATGCGTCTATAGATGATTAAATCAAACAAAGCAGCAATATACAATGACTAGACAAAAATTAATAATTATAAAAACTAGAAGAATTGTGTTAGTACTGTATTTTTAAAAAATATGTAATTTAGTAAACTGGATAAAAGCAACGATTTGACTGAAGCAAGGTTCAGATAATCTGACACAAATTAGCACATTTACAGAAGTTCAAGCATGACAGAATATTCTTACTTTCAGGTGTGGTCTTCCTGTTTTGTGTCATTAATGATAACTCCATTACATTTACACAATGTCAGCATTATGTAAAATGTAACTAAGTTACTAAGAGTAGCCCCAAGTTGAGTTATACAAGTTTTTAGCATCAAAGTTTGTTATTTCCATCTCCTCATTTGAACAACAAACACTCACTTCATTAATCCTGTATCTCAGAAGTTGTTCAGTCCTCCCCTGCACTTTTGCCAGAGTCTTCATTTTGCATCCCTGGCTCCTCTGTTTGTCTTAACGTAGCGTCCTTTTTCTTCAACTTAATGTCTTTAAATTCAGTCTCATTCTTCTCAACTTATCCACGCATCTATAGCTGATCCTTTGAGTTTTACTCAATCAAAGGAAACAAAGGTTTAAAGGCTTCAGAAAAAGAAGTCTGTTGTCCTGCCTGACATCCAGCAGAAGGTCAAAAGTAGACAGTTTAAGCTTCGCACCAGGTCTTTTTCTCCTCCAGGCAGATGAGTACAGCTGGTCAGTTGCAGTGGGAGCTGTCCCCAGGCTCCTCTGGACAAGAGAGGGGTCAATCTGTGCGGACAAGTCCAGCCACGTCCCACACTTCCCACAGGCTAATTTCAGTCAGTGACTTTTCCCAAAGTAGGAGTTTTAACCAACTCAGAATAGCTTTAGAAAAACTTTAAGTGCTCTTTTATTGTCATTCAAGACCAGATAATGCCGCCTATATGATTCCCTAGTTTTATTTTTGTCAGTCCTGTTTCATTCACTTTTATTCTACACTCAACCATGACTGCACTGTAAGTCCTGCAGTGGAGCAAGAAATATATTTAAATCCTTAGAGACCTCGTTTAATAGAATGCAGATACATTTAAATCATGTTAACGCAGTTTGTAGACACATGTATCATCAGTTTCAAGACTGAGATTAGAGTGTGTGGACTGTGTGAGAGATCCCCATCCTGTGGTTCATCTGAGCAATATCATCACTCAGCCTCAACAAAAGCTACTCTTTCGCATGTTGCTGTTTTAACCTGTTGAGTCTGGAATCTGTCCCATCTGTTCAGAGCAGGTCAGTCACCACTGATGGGATTTGATCGTCTGCAAGTCAGTATTTACAATGAATTAGATTCCTCCCTCTTAAGCAGCTTACAGTTAACATTTTATACATCTACAATTGGATTAATTGCTTATTTGTGGACGGATCACAAATCCTGCTGGCAGTTTCTGTGTTTTAATAAGACACTAAATTTGCATAAGTTGACGTGTAGCTGTTATTTACACTCCAAGTTTTCTTACATGTTGCTCTGTTTCTCTTCTAATTTGTTTTTTAAGTTTCTAATTTTGATTTGTGCCATTTTATTGTGGTTCAAATGTCTCTGTGATATTTTGTCAGAGAGTTAAAAACATGGGGAATCTACTTATTTTCACAAAAGAAAGAAAGAAAAAAGCAAAATAAAGACATTATGAGTGGAAAAATTGGACATGACGTATAATAACAATGATTTGCACATTCCTGCACATCTTTAGACTTCCAAAACAGACACTTAACAACATTAATTCTATGTATTCTTATATATTTTTTCATCTTCTGTTGTAAATGTTCTTACTTTACGTTAAATTCCCCGTATGTGTCCATCCTACTTGGCAATAAACCATGTCTGATTCTAGAGAAACTCTCTTTAATTTAGCCAATTATAGAACTTGTTTAGTCCCAGGTAGTATGGACAACACTGGGGTTGTGGTTAAAGATGAAAATGGCCAGAGCAGTACGTAATCCCCTCCATAAAGCTGTTGTAAGTGGGATGAGCTCAGCACAGAATCTGAACATACAGCATCGCAGTCAAGACTCCGCAAAGACTCCTCCTCTCAGTTTTATGTCATCACGACGATATGTGGGATGGAAATGGGCAACATGCCGCTATTTACTGGCCCCGGGAGGAAACTGTGACCTCTCCGCTGCTCTGGAAACGCAGTGTTTGAGGAAGTCAGAAGTCGTCCAGCAAGAAGTCACAGAGGTGTGACATGCACAGGCCGACACACGTGGATACATTTACATTTGCAGCTGATTGATTACCCTTTGTGGTGAGTGTTTCATTCTTTATGTTCATGTATAAGTTGGCTTGATCAAAGTGGTAGTGCATGATGAGGGATACTGAACTTCTGCATCTGAATTTTCACTTCTTTACTTTGGATTCATGAACTTGTCTGTAGCATGTAACATTGGACATGTCTGAATTCAAAATTCTCAGACACTTTTCGCAATAAGAAGTGATTTTTTTTTTTGTACGATACTAAAACAATGATGTGTGCCTTATGAAAATATCTGGAAAACCACCATCATTCATCCACTATAGACGTTTTGAATATTACCAAATCACTATTGTGTTGCTTTAATTTCACAGTGTCAGTAACACTTGAGTATAAGTGTAAACATTTTCATGTAATTACATACTAATTAAATTGTAGTAGTCATCAGTTTCAGATATGTTGGCTTCAGAAAGCAGCAGTAGAGCCAAACCTTGGGTTGACTGGGGCCACATGTGACTGAGGTTATTCTGAGGTGGGCTGTTCCTCTTTTAGCCCTCCTGTATGTTCAGCACGGCTTTCAGATGCTGATCCAGTTACTCAACAGTAAAGGCACACTGAGCTCATGCAACCACACCCACTCCATGACACACAGATAACACACTCATAATCCCTGACTGACAGAATCATGTTTTTACCTTGTCAATTTGACAGTAAGCAAACTTTCGATCTTTCACTGTGGCAGATCTGAAGCCTTTTATATACTGCGTGTTGTGATTATCCAACAACTTTTTAACGTATGTGTAATTACAGGAGCTTTTCAGGGAGGATAAATTCATCCTTCGCTTAGTTTTCATCTCTAGAGTGCACTTGATTGCACCTTTGTTGCTATAGACAACATCCAGTGGTTTCTGCCAACTAGTTTCTATTTTTCATTTTCTTGTAGATGTAACCAAAGAATACAGCACCGTCTCACCTGCTCTGCTGTTGGAAGATGGCCACCGCAGCAAAGGACCCCCACCTGGGCTCAGGCCCCGATGAGGACGATGTGTCTCTGGCGGAGAGCGGGTCCGATTCAGACAGCATCCTCTCCGATGACTCCGTGCTTCCAGATTACACACCAGAGATAACAGACGGGTGTGCAGCAGCAACACTGTATCGAGCATGTGTCCGTAATGACACCGTTGCTCTGCGGAAAGTTCTGGACAGAGGGGTCACAAAAGAGGAGGTTGGAGAGCTGGACATCAATGGCTGGGTGAGAGTCTCATTCATAATGGTGATGATTCAGAACCTTTAAATCATAGCTCATAATGTCTAAAACACTCCCACTGTCACTGGTCCTCACCAACAGAACGGCTTGATGGTGGCCTGCTGCAAAGGATTCGTGGAAATTGTGCAGGGGCTTCACCACTGTCCCTTTATAGACATAAACCACCAGGACAACGAAGGCAACACTGCTCTGATGATTGCTTCCCAAGCAGGCAAGTCATACCTACAAACATAAAAAAGCAAAGTTCAGAGGATAAACCAGCAAAGTAAACACAATAATGATGTAATTAGACAGTTGCATTGACATAGACTAAAAACTTTAACACTTTAATTTGCAAGCAGCCCAAACCAGCTGACAAAGTGCTGATCTGATCTCTGTACTCTGTGTTTTTCTCTACAGGTCATATCAACACAGTCATGTATCTCCTAAACTACTATCCTGGGATAGACACTGAAATAAGGGATTGTCGAGGATTCACAGCACTCATCAAAGCTGCTATGACCGGCCGCAATGACGTCGTGGCTGCCCTTGTTATGGCTGGTACGTAAGAGTGGGGACACAGCTAACTTTGTAGCACTAAATTTACAGATGATTTTAACTGTTACCTCCACCAAGGAGGTTGTGTTTTTGGTTCAGTTTGTTTGTGTGTCTGCAGAATTGCAAAAAAAAAAACTTCTGTCCTGATTTTAATGAAACTTGGGTGAAGGGTGTAGCATGGGCCCAAAAATGAACCCATTCAATTCTGGAGCAGATCTAAACAACAGGGCGGATTCACAAATTCTTTTTTACTTTTGTTAACACTGCAAAATAAGGCATATGGCCTTAATGGAGGTCTGCTTGTTCTGAGTGCCCTTCCAGTGTGTTTGCTTGATTTCCCATTTATTTTTACGTGTCTTGGGAAACAATTTTTGTTTGTCACTCATTTTGATTAATTCATTGCATATACTGATGCAAACTCTCTGGGAAATTATATAGAACTTGCATCATATCAATATATTGCATTTTATTTGATTAAAAAAATTAGACCTAAGCATGTCATTCTATATTCCATATAGGGACGGCACAATATGCAAACATAATGATCAAAAAAATAAATCAAAATCATTTTGTGATTACTTTGACAGATATTGTGATTATCAGTTCCGATTTTAGCGGGAATGGCAATTTTTGCCTTTCATTTTAAGTGGAAAAAAAGGATGATGATTTGATTTTGCTGGGGTTTGTACCAAACAAGCATGTTCCCTGACATCTGGAATATGATTTGTGGATCGGGGCATCTCTGTGGCACCACAATGCTTCATTTATATGATAAATTTAGATGATAAATGGAGCATATTGTGACAAATGTATATCTTTATAAAAAAATAAATAAATAAAACTGCAGCTCCTGCAATTATACTTGGCCATATTGTAATTTTGACAATATTTGGATTAATTGTGCAATACTATTGCATAGTCAAAGATTTCTAAATTACAGACCCATGTAACAAAATGCACACAAGTCTATATACGTACAGGTACATATAAAATAATATTCAGATGGCTTATAGTACAGTTTTTTCACCAGGACTCCAGACATTCAAAAACCTGACTTCCACAAACCCTATTCTTCTTGGTCTCTTTTTCCACCAGTAAAAAAACATTGACTTTTCATAACATTGCACTCATACAGGAGCTGCTTGACTATGATGTTGTCTGGCTTTTTTCAAACCCTGACATTAGCTCATTAACCGGGACTCTTACAGCTCTAAATGAACAGTTACAGCACTGGCTGGTGGAGAGAATAGCTGAGCCCACGGTTTATCTGTCCTTATTTGAAGCCAGCTAACTCTGTCCACGAGTGAGTGTGCCTGTGACGCCAGACCTGTTTAAGGGATCACTCTGAGGACATTAGCACATCTTAGCACACCAGCCAATAACCTCTGACTTACTACTCTTGCAGGCTGGTTGTAGATTAGCCACTTGCAGAGCTATTTGTGGACTGTACACGTTTCCTAAAATCTCTAGTCATAATTTATTGTTTGACATTGCAGGAGGGCGGCAAATAATGACTGTTTTCTTCATTGATGAATCTGCTGTTTATTTTTTATTTTTTGTTAATTCATACTCTTTTAGTCTGTGAAATGATAAAAAATACAAGAAAAATGCTGTTTACAATTTCTCAGAGCTTGCGGTAATGCCTTCAATTTGCTTGTATTGTCAAGTAACAATGAAAAATCTTAAGCTATTTAATTTACTGTCACATATGGGAAAGAAAAACATCAGTATGCCATATTTGATAAGATGAAACCAGGGAATGGTTGGCATTTTTGCTTAAAAAAAAAAAAAAGACAAACAATTAATTGATTATTAGAGTAGTTGCTTTCAATCAACAAACTGATTAAGTATTGAAGCTCTGCAATGCAGCCAGGGCTAGATGATATGATCTGTATCATAATAAACTGCAACATTTACCTTAATAACAATATCTGGATTGCTAACTTTTTCTATGTTTGTTGCTGATATTACAGTGTTATTACTACTGTTATTACAGCAACACATGTTCACAGTATGATAGCCCAGTCCAGCTGGACCTCTGGTTTGGACTGGGGTCTAACTTCTGATTAGATGTCACAGATTGTTGTTGCTCTTTCCAGTTTGATTTTATGAAATTTAGACACTATATTTTATTGGAAGTTGCAATATCAGTACATTTAAGGTGGTATGACATATATTATGTTGGCAATGTTATAAAAGTGGTTTATTGTAAGCCTTAACTGCACAGGTGTAAATCATAAAAGTAATGATGGTTGAGTTTAATTTAGCAGCTTCAGTCTCAGGGTCCTGGTATTGCCCAAATTCAGTATAACATCGGAGCATTATTTAGCCCCCTTCTGGCACAAGCTATGCTGACATAGTCGATACCAATGGATGCATTAGGTGGTCTAGTTTTACAAGATGCCACTACTTTGATGCTAGCTTAAAAATATTAGTACACCACAGCCTCTTAAAGACAGTAATATTGACCTCCAATTATTTTCTGCCACCAGAGGGCCCGAAAATACCCCTGTTGGGGATGCCACTGCATGTTATAGCTGAAAACACACAGGTGTACAGAATCATTTCATAACGGCTGCACTCAATTAAAGGGTTTCACTTTGAGGGTCCTGGGTCTGTACATGCTGGCTCACTGGTAGGCATACTGGGACATTTACCTGGAACCTGGAACAGAACTATTGTTAATGTGATTAATGACACCTGTGCTTTTCTTGCTTTGACAAGTCGTAATGTCAGCCAAGGAAAATGCCTATTAGCTCTCTGCAGATCTGATTTACACTAAAAAGAGAAGATGAATGAATTTTCAATTTTTAAATGAACCTTTCTCTCTTAATTCCTTTGCTCTGCCACCTTTATGTCCAGGTGCCGACATCCATGCAGTAGACTCCACCAAAGGAAAATGTGCTCGGGACTGGGCACTGAAAACAGGTCGCTATGAGACCCTGCATCGTCTCCGCCGCCTCAATGTGCGGCCAAAAGCTGAGCAGTTCTGTGAGAGTTATGTCCCTGAGTGGCCTGAGCTTAAGGAGAGAGTAGCTAAGGCCACAGGTGAGAAAAGTGCTACTGAAAAAATCTCCCAGCGGCTCAAAAACACATTTGGATTCAGATTTCCTCGTGACCCCCAGGACAACGGGGTCTTGGACCATATGGTGCGCATTACCACCAGCGTCCACAGTCCACTAATTTCAACTGGATGCCGTCCCCTCTGCCCTACCAGCCCTCCTGAGGTGGGGAAGAGGCGCATGGCTGTGCCAGAGCTGGTGAAGAAACACACAGATAAGGAATTAGAAGAGAGCTCAGTGTGCCACAGCAACGGCTCAGTATCACGCATCATACCCACAATCCACTCAGCAGAGTCCATCTCTGCAACGTGCTGTGCCGAGACGGAGCGGCGAGGCAGCATCCTCTCACTGGCCTCCACCAAAGTTGCCACTGCATTTATTCCCCGTAGTATGGCAAGAAGGAACAGCATATTCCCATCTGGCTGCATCCCCAAGATTGACATCAGCAGGCCTTCAGAAGCAACACCAAAGAAAGAAAAGAAGAAGAAGAGGAGGGACAAGGGCTTCCTGGAACCGCCCAAGTGGAGGTACAAGGAGATCAAGGATGAGAAGAAGAAGGCTGAGAAAGAAAAGGCTGAGAAAGAAAAAAAGGAGAAAGAAAAAAAGGAGAAAAATAAAGAAAAAGACAGCAAGAAGGCCAAAAAATAAGAGTTGCCCAAAACAGGGCTGTGATGCAGTACGAGAACAATATGTGTTCTGTGTTCACCACAGGGTTTAAAGTGTTCAAACCAAACATCTCAGGCACATTGAACAAATACAGAACCTATAACCTAAAGGGAAATAGGTAACAGAGGAGATATTTTCTTCCTAAACCTGGATGATGGAGGACCTCAAACGAGCACCGCAGAGACTCTTCAAGAGGAGTTTGAACCTTTTAGCCTGTATTGTCTAAAAGTTGAGACAAATGTTACGTATTTTTTTGAGTTAGGATAGGAAAAAAAGTTTATTTTTTCATGGTTATGTGTAAATGTAAAGTATCAAAAAGACTAAATGGGCTTTTTTAATAATTACGACAACCCCTGTTTACTGATTCAGTTTGACAGGTGTTACACTCTATGGTATCTACCTCATCATTCATATAGTAGCCTATACCTGTGTATCCTCCTCCTATATGTAAGATGTAAATATAGAATCACGTAGCTTTGTCATAACTCATTTGTATTGTTATGTAATATTGTTACCAGCCATGACAGCAGAGCTGGTATTGTCTTTACCCTGAGGCTTTGTTTGTTTCATCATGACAAAATGTGGTCCTGGAGAGAATGGTCCTCCCACTTCACGCTCCAGGCCCACACTCATTTTAAGTCGTGTATCGGCGTCCCAGCTGGTGTGATCCCATTGAATAAAGGTCTCTAGTTTTATGTATTTTTGTAAATAACTATTCAAAAATCACTTGTAAATACTGTACAGTGTGTAGCAAACATGTATCATGAAGGTTTTATCCTCCAGTTTTAATGCCACTCTCTGACATTGCCAATGACATCTTCACATCTCTCCTGCTTTTATTAACTCTATGAGAAATTACAAATAAATATAGAACAGTGAAAGTTTCAATTCAGTCAATTCATTCATTTGTTGGTGTTTAAAGTAGCACTAGTAGTCAATATAGTCTAGACTGACAGTGGATCAAATGACTGTGTGCAACCTATGGGGCTGAAAAATTGAGCCAAAATGAAAGCGCCAAAAACTGCACTTCTTTAAACGGCCACTTGAGGTTGATCCATAGTTCCCCCTTAATGACAACTGTACAGGGGACTAATCTTTTTTTCTCACCCGTTTGCATTATATTAAGGCTTGGAGTTAGGTTTAATAAGGGGTGGACCGCTTTGAGTGACAGACTATTTGCCGATAGTGTCCTTGGCTTCTCAATCAGATCCACCCCTCGCTCCTCCACAACACCAGTCTCTAGCACTAATATGGTCACTTCTGGCTCCACAAAACCAAGATGGCAATGGCCAATGTGCCAAATCCAAGGCTTCAAAATGAGAGCTGAGGTCACGGTGGCTAAGCCCATTATTTTTACAGCCTGTGTGTGTAATGTGAAAGGTGCTGCTTGTAGAGACTAACAAAAATAGTCACCACCAAAGTCTGCAGTATCATCAGCTCGATAGAATTTTCAAATCTATTTTAGCTCATTGTCTTGGTTTTCCTCTTATCAACCTTGTTATCAGTCACAGCAGGAAACCGTTTCAGCAGAAAAGCTCTGATAAAGCAACTGTACAACATCTGCTCAGCACCAAACAGCAGGCGGACACAAGCTTGTGAACACAGTGTTGCATTCAGCAGGTAAAGAGACAGATATTTTTCTCAGGGGGTTGTGGAGGACAAACCAGAGCTGAAAGGAAAATGAGCTTTGGACTTCTCCAAATGAATGCTGATGTTCCTCCCTATCCTCCCAAAGGCTGAGGGCAGCTAACCAAACACCATAACTGAGGACAACAATCCCCTGTCATAAAGTATAAACATGTATAACTGAGTTTGAGTCTAGAGAGTGCTTAAATAGATTTAATTTTAAAGCAAACACAGACAGCACCACCTTGGGACTCTCACCCAAAGACTAGTAAGTAACAAAAGCACTTCTCCACCACTCTACAAGAGGTTCCCCTTTAACCCTTTTGAAATCTGGACGTCTGTTTTTGGCTTTTTACTTTTCTTTTTTTGCTTATTTCAGGTAATTTTCTTGTTTTTCTTTTTTAAACTTTTTGTTTTTTGCTTATTTTAAGTTAATTTTCTTGTTTGTTTTTCTTTTTTTACTTTTCTTTTTGTTTTATTTTTGGGTGATTTCTTAATTACTAAAGTTACTTCTTAAAGATTCTTCATATCTTGGTAATATCTGGGCCATTTCATAAATTTCTTATTGCCTTCTTTCCTTGTTTTAAAAAAAATAAAAATAAAAAAATCAAGTCTTAAAGGGTTAAACCACAGGTAAGCTCCACAGTTAATACAGTGGCACATGTACAAATAAAGATTATTTGTACTCAACAAATTAAAAATTACATTCTTTATTTGTAGATGTGCCTCTGTATTAACTGTGGAGCTTACCTGGGGTTTAAAGGGTAGCCTCTTGTGGTGGGAGAAGTACATCAGTCTTTGGGTGAGAGTCCCAAAGTGGCACTGTCAGTGTTAAAATAAAATATGTTTAAGCACTTTCTAGATCAGGGTTGTCAAACTCATTGTAGTTCATGAACCACACACAGCCCACGGGCTGGACCAGTAAAACTATTGCATAGTAATTTACAAATAACAACAACCCCTTCTATTTTATTTTTTCACTTTTTCAGTGTAAAGAAGCACATTCTGAAAATGTTCATCCATTTACAAAAAAAACAATGAACAGCCTGCAATATCCTAAAAAAAAATTTGCAAATTCAACAGTATGTATCAGTTTTTCCCACATTCAGTCAGTTTACTTCTCACTTTCATTACATGTGCTTTTTTTCATAATTTTCCACTGAAGTAGAAGCTATAGAAGAAGTAGGTGAAGTCATCCCCTGCCTTACAACCCATTTACAATCTGAAGTTTTGTCAGTGCCTTAGCAACAGGGTTCCTCTCATATTGTTTTAAGATAGAAGTCTGACACAGATTCTTTTGTACCGATGCTGCCGGTTAACAATATTTTGCACACTGTTCCATATCTTTAAATATGACCAAAGTATGTGTTAATTGTTATCTCAGAGAAATGTATTCTGGTCAGGGTGGAAAAGCCTCAGAAGCATTTAAACTCACTGTTTAAATAGCTGTTTAAATAGCTCCTGACACCTGGCACCTCTTAGCCTTCACAAGTGCGTCAATAGGTGTGCAAAGTCATCTAGTGGACTGGCTTGGACCCTTTGGTGGGCCAGTTCTGGGCCCCACGCTGTATATCTGACACCCCTGCTCTAGGCTTAAACTCAGTTACATGTGCATATGAAGGCTAAAGGTGAAAAGACAGATATGTTCTGTAAGAAAATACTGAAAAGGACATATTAGCCAAAGTAGCTTTTCCTCCAGAACTCTAATAAATTTGGGGATGATCTTACAGCAATGTGAGCCTAATGACAAGCACAGCCTGCTGCTGACAAAAGGCTGTTTGGGAGTGACCTTTGTGACCTGTTATATATGAATTAGTCTGTAATGTGCTGCATATCTATCTCTTATAGCACCCTGTCTGTAATATCAAGGATTACAGTACATCCTAATGGGGGTGACCTTTAACATAGATAGATAGATAGATAGATAGATAGATAGATAGATACTTACTAACTCACCTCTGTAATAATCCCCAGTCTGTGTGTGTGCTGCAGCCTGCTGGTGGAACATGTTAGTCAACTGTTCACTGTGCACTGACAGCCTGGTTAGCTGTCATCATCACGCCTCGCCACATCTAACGTTAGCTAACTAAATGTCTTAATGCGATGAGCCGGGAATTCATTGATCATGGCTAACCTACAGATCTCGTTAGCCGTCGTGGTTGTTCAGGCGGTCCTGTACAGAACCTGCGAGGGTGAGTGACTTATAGTTTGTTTTGTTCACAAGCCGCTGCTGTGGTGCTGCTGCCATCATGAAGGCGAACGACTGTGGAGTTAGCTGCTAGCTAACGTTAGCTAGGTTAGCTAGCCTAGCCCCGGGACGACAAACTGAATTGACACATAGACTTGAAACCAGGTCAGCCTTAATTTGTACAAACCTGCGTGTTATTTAGATATCTTTCGTGTAAATGTGACAACACACGACATCTCACCGTGTTTCTGTCGTTGTCGAGCCAGTTAGGCTAGTCTGAAACAGCAGTTAGAAGGTGTGTGAGGTAGCATGGGCTGTCAGCTCAGTCAATTATTAGGCTGTAAACACACAGAGTGTTGCTTTGCTCTCAGCCTTATGCAGCAGTGGTTATTTAACTTGTACAGCTAAATATATGGTTGTTACCGCTGTGTGCGACCTTTCCCTTATGTCTTTGTCTGCTGTTTATCCTTTTGCATCACAGTAATGTTATCCAGAGACACTTGACATGTTAGATAATGATGCCATGAGGGTGTGTGTGTGTGTGTGTGAGGATTTCAGAGTGCTCACATGTTAATGTAATTATTATGGATGTGCTCATATTACAGGCATTAGTAATCTCATATCTGCAGCCCCAGGCACAGATGTGGGGATTAAACTTATGTTGCAGTGTTGCTGTAAACATATATAATACACAGATGTACAACATGGTGTATTAGAACAAATGCACCTGTGTGTGATAGTAGATTAGTACAAAGTTTATCATGATTTGGAGCCTGGTGAGTCTGGTGTGTTCACTCAGAGTCTTCTATAGTGTCATCTGTATTATTGTTTGTGTTAGCATGATCCACTTTACTTCTGTGTATGAGAGACTAGAAAGTATACATTAGCAGGTTAATAATATATGTAGCTTGTTATGTTATGGGGCAGAGTAGGAGTGGGTGATATGTATAATATTCTTATTTGTCATCCATGTTTCCTTCCTAAAAACAGTTTATTACATTGCCACAAAAAACTAGGGCTGCACCTAACAGTTAAGTTCATTGCCAGTTAAAGTGCTGATTGCCTTCTTAATCAATCTTAATTAATCACTTTAGTTCCATAAATTGTCAGAAATTAGTGAACATTGCCACTGAAATTGCTTTTTGTTTGGCCAAGAATTTAAAAATCCAAAGAAATTCAGTTTTCAATGAAGAGTTTGAGAAGGTGGCACCAGATAATCTTTAGTGTTTTTGCTTCAAGATTGATTTAAATGATTAGTTGATTATCAAAATACTTGCTGGTTAAATTTCTACCAGCTGACTAATTGATCAGATTAGATGATCAACAGAAACAGACCTTCTAGGACAGAGAAACAGACTATAAACTATTAACAAACAATACACAAGTTGCTGGTTTACAGGTCACCCTTTTTTCATATTTTCTTTCCCCCATCCAGCCCAACCTTTGCACAACAACAGCGCCACACATTACAGAAAAAAGGTTATAATAAAAATATATAAAAAGGACAATGATAACCAATGAAAACAAACACAGTAATGGGTAAGTAAGTAGATGGCCAGGGGGAATAAGTTGAAAAGGAAAAAGAGATGAAATAAAAAAAAAATCTGGTAAAATATAAACTGGAAAAGCCCCTTCCTGAGCTTGTTTATGTTTTGCCATGGTGTTAAGGAGTATAACTTTGCTTTGCATCCCCACACAGTGTAGATATGTATGTCAGTTCTGTTCCCTTTATTGTTCTTCAGAAGTACGGGACATTAAGTTGTTGCTCGGGATGTAAAATGTCATGAAATATGGCATCTCAAGCCTGTTGTGTTCTGGTCGAAAACAGAAAGATCACCCAGTGCTCAAGCATCTGATTCCAGTGGTGATATTAATGTAATCGTTGTGTAAACAGAGGTAAACACACAAATGAACTGCAGTGTCTTGCAGTATTTTGGCTATATTTAACTATACTTTAAGGATTTCTGTTCCTAATGCTGATTATTTTTTGTTCTCTGAGGACTCTTTTAAAACATCAGCCCGATGTTAATTATAGTTATGACAATAATAGCCATGGAAAATCTGAAACGTCAGTCTCATTTCATGTTTAGTCAGCATCTATCTTCCTTATTTTTTTGAAAGATAGGTTGTTTTGTTTCTTGTATGACCACCAGCATCTGCCAAGTAGGTGTTGGCATTGTATGAGTCAGCACCACAGAGATGTTGTAACATATTAACTCTACATTTCCCCCGTTTGACGTAATAACTCTGAAGTTCAGGTTCATATGTGTGTGTTTTCTAACCAGCACATCCAGCACAGACATGCTCTCTGGCGAGGTCATTTTCTGCTGAGAATCCACTGGGGGCTTTTTCAGAATGACTGGAATGTCCCATCATGTCTGTGTCTTAATATTATTACCGAGTTTCAAGAGGAAGTCTCAGTCTGTTGTTTGTCAAAGCCGGTCATTTAATCTCTACTCCTACATGCCCTCACATAAACTCTCCACCCATCCTCCCAAAGCCCCCGCCATCCTACACACACCACACCCTACCTCGAACACTTCTTCTACTTCCTGACCTCGCCAGTACCATCCTCCGTCTCTCTGTCCTTACCTCTCCAGTTCATCTTTGCAACACATCACTCATCTGAAAATGTTCCTTTAGTACTTGAAATATTTAGGCAGTGTCGCTGTGAAATATTACTCTACCCTTGCCAGGTGGCTTCCTCAGGTGGATCTTACACTCACCAAACTAACTTGAATCACCATTATCTAAAAGTGAGATGCCACTTGCTGCAGAAACCATAACAGAATGTCATCACAGTCAGAGTGGTACTAGGAAGTGTCCTTTCTGTTTTTGGGCTTCATCCACTGTTGCATATTGTTTGTAAGTGCAGAGCTTATAATGTAATGCATACTGTTACTTATGGCTGCTATTGCCCTCTACTGCGCATGATGTGTACTGTACGTTCCTGCACAGTTTAGAAGAAAATAAAGTACTTTGCTCCCACATTTGCCCGTTATGTAACAATAAATTCACAGCCTGTAGACACACACACACACACACACACACACACACACACACACACAGTATTCATTAGCGGTGCTTGCAGACAAAGTCTAGTACTTTTAATCATGCAAACTGTTATGTCTCACGCTGTGTTCCTTCCTTCTGCCCCCTCTGTCCCTGCAGCTTTGCGGTGTAACTGCACCACTGTCCAGTGTGAGAAGACTGGCTTCCAGTGTGAGACGGATGGAGCGTGCATGGCCTCCACTTCCCTCATTGACGGCCAAGAGCAGCACGTCCGTAGATGCATCACACGAGACAATCTTGTGCCCCCCGGACAACCGTTCTTCTGCCTCGGTGCAGAGGGCTTGCTGAACATCCACTGCTGCTACACGGACTACTGCAACAGCATTGACCTCAAAGTACCTTCAGGTAAGAGCTCTGAAGTTGCACACGGCTTATACATCATGATCACCAATGCTCTGACCTTAAACCTGGGATATGCAGAAATTTGGAAAAGGCCAATAAACATAAGAATTTAAAAGTACAACCTCCTCCCACAGTTCTCCCCTCTCTGTCCTAAGCCCCTCCCACCAAACGACCCTGGGCATATGCACACGCTTCATACATTAACCAAGTGTTTGCCATACATTGATGCTTTTAATCTTTTTTCATTGTAGAGTTCCACACTTCATTTCCTCAGCCCCTCCTCACCCACAAATTAGACAAGGATTAGCTAGCCAGCCACTCCACGGTCCCTCCGCCTCACTCTCTGCCTCCATGCTTCACTGGAAGGAGAGTGGGCAGCATCTCAGGGAGCAGACCTTTGGTTGGTGGCTCTAGCAGCTCACATTTGGCCAGTGCATTGCAGCGTGCTGGTGGCCAACAGCAGTGCCAGGTCAAACCTTTGTAACAGCAGCAACAGAAAGTTTGCTAATCTGGTGTCTTGGAGTCTGGGCTGTCTGGTCTCCCAGAGCTGTGGTTTCCATTTGCTGGATTTGTGATGCTGCGGTCGCTGACTGTGGGTCATTCGGAGCTGGTGCTTGCTCTCCTCCCTGCAAAGTGATCTGTAGTGGAAGGGTTTGAGGCGGAGGACTCATTGTGATTCGAGGGTCTCACTAACATTAGCTACATAAACGTGAACATGAAGCCGCAGCTGTTAGCTTTTGGCTCTGGTTAGCAAAAGGCTAAACTCCTTGCAGCATTTTCTCTCCATCTCTGAAGTGCTTCACCAGCATTGACACGTCTTCTGTTTGTTTTTTGTCAGACTCTATTATCAGACTCTGTCTTCCTTTGTTAGTTACCTAGCAGTGCAGGCAGTTGTTGCTAATGCTGGAATAGCAACATTCTTTGTAGAATTCTCCACCATTGAATCAGGCTTTCACCGAAGAGACATGCACGTACATCTGCATTTATAGAACTGCCAATAGGAACACTCTCTCTCTCTGAAATAACCTGTGATTGTCCAAAGTCTCCCATCACAGGCTGGGTTTTCTAAAGCCTGAAAACAGAGCCAAGAGAAGTAGTCTAATTTTTTCTCTATCTTAGTCCACTTGAATTACATAATGCTCAAGTGAGATTTTTGCCTAGTGTGTCCAAAATAAAACTGTCTACCCATGCTTGAAATTTTTTAATTTTTGTGTGACAGATTAGAACACAAATGTCTATCTATCATGTGACTTGAAGCAAACACATATTACAAAAAAGTGTGTCTTTACCTGGAGTGCCATACATCTAATATTTGCTCCTAACATACAGTGAGTGAGCAAACTACAGGCAGGAACATGTTTCCTGTTTCCTACACTGTTTTATGACTCATGGTTCCTGAGAAGATACATGTTTCCTATGGAGTTCTGTACAGTGTCCAAAAATATTTTGCAGAGAGAAGAGTGTCAATGTAGAACAATTGTGACAGGAAATTGTGATCGGCATTCATTTCTAGCATGCACAAGAAACACAAGTTCATATGAAGCTTTTAACCGAGAAGCAGCACTTTAAAAGACTGGTATAAACTGATGATAATTTAACCCCAAGTTGCTCTGCTTGTTGTACTGACTCACATACTCTTTGAGTGTGGATATCCTTTTCAGATCTGTGCAACACAGTGTGAAAAGGAGCCAGAAAATCATTTATTTGTCTGAATCAACAATGGAGTTGAGAAACTCAACACGAGTGTCACAAAGACAAAGCACTACTGAAAAATATGAGAAAGGTCAAAGGAGAGAATTATCAGACCTTTTACAGTGTATGTACGCTGTTAATGCAATTTCAGTACTTATTGTACTGTAAAAGCCTTTTAGTGTAGAGAACTAAGCATCTCGTACTTAAATAACTGGGAATAATCAATAGAAGTTAATGCAAGAGTCAAATGTGGACTCTGTGCATAACCAAAAGCTTTATACTGTCATTCCTCGTGGTCACGAAGCAGTTTATATCAGGGATTAAAGTCTGTCTTATGTGTGTACTGAGTGCCAGATGTTGCAGTTTAATTTTCCACTGGTCTCTCTTCAGTCACGACTCAGTCAGGACTCGGGGGTGGCTACGGCCCAGGTGGAACATGGGGGCTGGTGGAGCTGGTCGCTGTGATCGCAGGGCCGCTGTTCCTGCTGTGTCTGCTGCTGCTGATGGGTGTGTTCCTATATCAGTACCACCAGAGGGCCTACAGCCACAGGCAAAGGTTAGAGGTGGAGGACCCCTCCTGTGACCACCTCTACCTGGCTAAAGACAGGACCCTGCAGGACCTCATATACGATCTGTCCACGTCTGGTTCGGGCTCTGGTCAGTGGATAATGTAGCTGCAGCTCAGCGCCCATGTTAGAGCTTGAACTGGTTTGAGCTTAATCAAATTAGTAGCAGCAAACTGTTGATTGCTGTTCTCATCTCTTTTGAGCAGGTCTGCCTCTGTTCGTCCAGCGCACTGTGGCCAGAACAATCGTCCTCCAAGAGATCATTGGTAAAGGGCGTTTTGGGGAGGTGTGGCGAGGACGTTGGAGGGGCGGTGATGTGGCGGTGAAAATCTTCTCCTCCAGAGAAGAGCGCTCCTGGTTCCGTGAGGCTGAAATCTATCAGACCATCATGCTTCGCCATGAAAACATCCTGGGCTTCATAGCTGCTGATAACAAAGGTGCACACCTGTGACATCACAACATGTTGAAGAATGGATAAATAATTCACAGCTCAGGGTTAATGATGAGTTTTGTTTGTTGTGCAGTACTTCTCAGGTAAATTTCTAATCTCTTTGTATCTTTATGTTTGTGTCTCCTGCCCAGACAACGGCACATGGACCCAGCTGTGGTTGGTGTCGGACTACCACGAGCACGGCTCTCTGTTCGACTACCTGAACCGCTACTCTGTCACTACTGAAGGAATGATCAAACTAGCACTGTCCGCAGCCAGCGGCCTGGCACATCTGCACATGGAGATTCTGGGAACACAAGGTGACAGCACCACTTCATTACTGACAGGGCTGGTTATATTAATTGCTCTTTATGTTCCCCTCCCACAGACTGGCACAAAGCCTCTCATGTTGACAGCTGATCTGTGCCATCTCTTGCAAGACTCTGAGGCAGCTGAACTGAGTCATAAAACAGAAACTGTCTAAGTTACAGTATGTAAATTTTGGTCGACAACATGTTACCCATGAAAAAGGTTAAAATAAGTTTGTAAAATTCTCCATAATTTGCTGTTAGTTTGTTAATAGAAAACCAAATAGAGACTGAAATGAATAGAGATAGATAAATAAAGTTAAGTTCTTGAAGTCAGTGTTTTCATACTGCTTAAAGCACCAAAAAATACATCTGAAAAACTCCAGAAATTATTACCTGGTTACTCAAGATAATCCACAGACCTTGTTGTGAGCAGTTTCATGTTGGAACTATTTTCTTTCTAGCAAACTACACCTGCCAATGGTATCTTTGCGCAACAGAAAAAAAAAGAACTCAGACTTTATGAGTAACTATAATTTACATTTATGTTTTGATAGGAAAGCCAGGCATCGCCCACAGAGACCTGAAGTCCAAGAACATCCTCGTGAAGAAGAACTGCACCTGTGCCATCGCTGACCTGGGCTTGGCTGTCCGTCATGACTCAGCCTCGGATACCATCGACATTGCACCCAATCAGAGGGTGGGCACCAAAAGGTCTGTGTCAACACACACACACACACACACACACACCTGCAGCTGCTGACCGTCCGTTCTCACAGATATCTCTGACGCCTTTCCTGGAACATCCTTTAACTCTGCACATAATTTTAAACTGGGATTGTTGTTACATCTCTCAGGTACATGGCTCCAGAGGTTCTGGATGAGACTATCAACATGAGACACTTTGACTCATTCAAGTGTGCTGATATCTATGCTCTGGGGCTGGTCTACTGGGAGATCGCACGCCGCTGTAATAGTGGAGGTTGTACTCTTTTGTTTTCACTCTGGATACTCAACCTGTGTTGTTTGATTTTTTTATGGATGTTAACAACTGAGATCACAGCACTGATCTGACCCCAACATTTTCCTGTGTTATCAGGTATCCATGAAGAATACCAGCTGCCCTACTATGACCTGGTACCTTCTGACCCATCCATAGAGGAGATGAGAAAGTTGGTGTGTGACCAAAAGCTACGACCCAACATTCCTAATTGGTGGCAGAGCTACGAGGTATGATGAGTTAAAGCAAAAATTTGTCACTGTTTAAGATCTGCACTCACACCAGAAGTTAATTGCAGGTTATTATGACATAGGTCTTATTTTTTTTAGGTTTTGCTCATCATTTAATAAACTATAATCAGAACAGCACAGTCATCAACATAATTACAGAGATCTAGGAACGTTGTGACATCACTAAAAAGAAAATGATTGTAATATGGTTAAAATTATTACTAACAAAATATTTGTCACACTGTCTACACTCTTCTGTTCACTGTTTTCCAGTGCCATGAGGGATGCATATTTCTATTGAGGATTAAAAATTACATAAATATCAATAAATAAATACAAAAAATAAACAAATGATATAATAAATAAATTCTGAAATAGATGCATAAATAAATACAGGTATAAATAAATAAATAAAATGATAAATGCTGAAATAAATACAGGGATAGATAAATAAAATAATAAATAAATGCTGAAATAAATACAGGGATACAGAAATCAATAAAAGAGTAAATGAATAAAAACCTGTTGAACTGTTAAATGTTGAGATAAATGTATACATTTTAAAAAAGACAGTTAAACAGGACATAAATAAAGATTTTTAATTAATTTCTATATTTGTAAAACTGCATTTATTTATTTATTTATTTATTTATTTGCCTGTATGTTAATGTGGTAGAAGGTCCTAACATCTGCATTTACTTCTTTGTGGATTTATTTATTCATTCATACATTGATTTATTTATTGATACGTGTGTATTGTTTGTCCTCCATATTTTGCGGTTACACTCGCTCGTGGTTTATTAGCCTAAACTGTTGACTTATTACAACTAGCAAGATAAATCCACCAGTAACTTGACTTATTGGTATTGGAGCAAATGTTGTCAGATAAGAATCTGGTGCAAAGAAATGCCAAAAATACCGTATGTTTGTTGTAATGTAGAAACAGTGTCTTCTTTAAATATTTTATCAAAGAGCATTGACAGGTTTATTTGTCCAACTGTCCAGCACATGTTGGTAACAATTCTATAATATTTATTTCAGGAGTCTTTATTGCAAATCTGCTTACGTGTAGTTCATAACACTCACAAATATAGATTATCGGCTAGGCGTACAACTGTCAGATCATCATGTGGCTTGCCCAATTGGGTTTCCCAGATCTCAGCAATGGCGTAACTGAGTAATGCTGGAAATGACGGCCGAAGCTACTCACATGAGAGCAGTGATGCAATAAACTGAGTTATCCTTTACAACTCCCTTTTAAGAAAAGTGAATGACACAGGGAACACACAGGTCTTTCAAACAAGGTTTCTAACACAAAGCATAGTCATCCTCATAATGATTTATACTGTATTGTAAGTTCATATTCTTATTTGATTCTCCCTCCCTGCTGTTCCAGTCTCTGCGAGTTATGGGCAAAATCATGAGGGAGTGTTGGTATGCTAATGGAGCTGCCCGCTTGACTGCCCTGCGCATCAAGAAGACCCTCTCCCAGCTCAGCATTCAAGAGGACATTAAAGTCTGAGCTAAGTCAGCTGAGCGCTGAGAAAGAGCACTGAGCAACACCCGGCTCCAGACTGTCGGACACTGAGAGGAAGGGGCCGGGCCTTCGACAAAGAACGCACAAAGTAAGAGAAAACGATGGAGAGTCGCACTTTGTAAAATATTACTCCATAGACACTCCTGCCAGTTTTGAAGCCACTTGATTTCTGACAAACCCTACCTCGCTTACCCAGCCAAACTACCAAGAACACCTTTCCTGTCTTGTCCTCAGCTACTGCTGCCCTTTTTGTTCCTCTCTACACTCCGTACTAACAAGGATCCTTGGATTTCCTGTGTACTTGTATGCAATCGATAGCAGGATATGTAATTACCCATTTAACAGTTTGAAAATCAGTTAATGATATTTCCTTAAAGTCTCTATGATCACAGTCGCTTAATAGACACAGCATTTGCTCTTTTTGTCTTTGAAACTGGGGCCAGCTTTTGGGGGTTAGGAGTGTTTTTAACTTATTTTTTACTTATTCTGTTATTTAAATGACTAGATCTTGTTATTGAAATATGGGTGTTTGTGAGGCTATTGTGCAGGTTTCTCTGTGCCGCCTACAGCTTGAAGGCACATCACAAACTGCTTAGAAACTCTTCAGAGACAATAATCCATCTGGTTCTGCTGCAGCTGTGTTTAGTTGTCTCCTGATTATCATGTAAGCATGTACAAAGCAGTTGAGGCAGTTTGTGTAAATGCAGCCCGTTTACTTTCAACATGGTGTTGAAAGACTTCACAGTTACTGGAGCGTTTGGGCAACTTGCCAAACATGATTTAGCCTTTGGACCACTTGCCTGGAGCCCTTCCCATTAAGTATTGTAAACCTCAGGTTTTCCTTATGCTTACCAGTCAACATGTTTTTTTGTCTGCTTAGAGTCATCTTAAGCAAACTACGCATTTTGGAATTATTAAGCAAAATGCATTTTACTGAGGCTTTGTTCACATTGCAGGGCTTAACGCTCAATTCTAATCATCTAATAATGGGCTGTCAGATAAATGGGCTTTCAGTCCACTAGCTCTATTAGCGGCTGTTGTTGGTAGTTCTGTGAAGAGAGAGGTGAGGGTGTGGCCGGGAGAGGAGTCAGCAGTGGTGAAGCCGCAATGTGGAAGGTTTCACAGAGGAACAGTTCCTCCAAACTTCAGCATTTCCAGGGTTACATTCCAATATCTGTCGGCGTTACAACAGTGCTGTCACGTCGGCAAGCTGTCCCCATCAGAAAGAGTCTGGCAGTCGGGCTCTATTGGCTGATGACTGGGGCAGCCTACCGCAGCAGCGATATGGCTACAGCAACCTTCTGTAGTTTTGACAAACCACACAGACACTGTGTGGTGAGTTATCTGTATCTTGACCACCACCAAAAATCATGCCTGTGTGGAAAATCACGTGAATTCGCTATGACGTTTCTTACTGTAGTTGTGTGGCCAGTGATTGGATATGTATCGTGTTTAGGACCACATATGATAGTGGTCCAGATCTGACTGGAAAAAAATCTAATTTCTGTGTCCACATGACACCAAAACAATCAGAATTGGGCCACATTTGCTTGTAATGTGAACGTAGGCTAAGATGGAGGGTTAAATGTAGAGCCACAGCTGCCATGGACTTGAAACTGTATATTTTGTCCTTGATCTTAGCTGACACACTCGCGTGCTTTGGACTGGGACACTTCCTACAAATCCCATGTATATTTAAATCATAGTATTCCAGTCTGAAAGCAGCCGCTGTCTCTCAATCAACCCACAGACCATAACCTGCCACGAGAGTAAACGTTGCTCCGGCCTCTTGGATAAGCTGATAAACACGACATTCAGATAACCTTTGTCCTTTGCAGCAGTAATCCTGTATACACTGTACTTAAACTACAGGGCAAAAATGTTTCATTTTAAATCCCTTTTAAATACACTAACTCCAGGAATCTGAATAATAGTTTGTTTTTATGTTTTTATATCGTCAAAGCATGTTCAATGTTCTTTTCCCCTCAGGGCGTCTTTTCCCTGGCCAAGTATAACTACTGCACATAAACTAGCTTTTTAAGGTGAGACTTGTGTATATAGGACAGTTACACTAGATCTTATGTTGAGACTTAGCTCATGTTTTAGATGGTCGAATCTTTTATATCGACTTTTTGGTTGGTGGGAAGAAAATTACTTTTGTCTTGCTGTTTGTAAAAAGTTTTATGTACAAATCTACTTTTTGACCTCTGATGTGACATCACTGTATGTGTCAGACACACTGCTTATGTTGACTATAGACGATAGAGTGTTGCAGGGATGATGTTGTTTTGTAGGTTGACCTGGAAGGTAGCATCGTCCTGGTTCCCTCGTCAAAAAGCCAGTTGGGTTTTCCTATTGGATTTTGGATTATTACAGAAAATAAGCTACAAGTCTAACAAGTGTGATACCTACACGTTTTATTCGGCAAGATAATCCTCACAAATAAGCACCACTTTTATGATTTTTGAACCTAAATTAAATTGGCAGAAGTAATAAGCTAACATAAGGCTATAAACAAACAACATCATGGTCGGTAACTTCATCGTCACCACCACAACGAGGCTGTAAAGCCATGTTCAGAGCATGGACTGTATAAATAGATGGATGACACGTTTCCACTTCCTCCAGTTGTACAAAAATGAAGCCAAAATATCCTGGGTATGGCCACTGCCATCTTGCACTGGTGGTCAAATTGGTGGTCATTTGGAGCCAGAGTCTGCGCAGTAGCAATCTCTGCTGTGTCGAGTTCCTGCTGAAAGATCCGTCCAACTAATTACAAGCATCGCTATTGATCATGAGCACACTGATTGACACACACAGCTGTCAATCATGAAGTCAAACCCCATTTTTATAGTATCAAATAACTCATTAAAACCAGTCGTATCTTTGGGAAAAATGTATTTGACCTGTACTTTGATGTTTTAGTTTGGCCCGTGTTCGTCTGCTAACAAGAAGGTGCCAGCCTTTATGAACCTGTACTGCAGCCAGCCACCAGGGGGCAATGTACATGTTTTGGCTTCACTTCAGGGAGCTGTTATTGCGTCCATTGTCCATCCATTCCTCTGAAGCTTGTGTTAGCCACAAACTTTATTTCAGGCTTCTAACCAAAAACCTACTCAAAAAACCCACTGACTACAAGACGAGGGAACTGGCAGTGCTAACATGCTAACTCATTTCCAGGTTTTAGGACTCGTTCCTGCAGCACTCTGTTTGATTTTAAATCAATGTTCCCCCCCCCACAGCTCCTCTTGTTCATCATACAATACCTCCTCAATGTGAACACTGTATGTGGATTGTTTCTGTCTAGCTAACACTGTCAGAGATCACTGTCTACGTTTTTTATGTTTTCAGGAAATAGGTGCACTTTTGTCTTTAGCTGTATGCAAATCCAACAGGTACTGTCTGCGTGTAGTCGTTCCCATGTTATTTATATATATGTATGCTGTGAGTCCCTATGAAAGCCTGAAAGGCCACATGTGCACTACTACTGACCTCACAGCATTAAAACCAAATTGTTCTCAGAATCATCTCTGGTCATGGCCTCTGGTGTTTATTTAGGATCACACCACTGAAAATGAGAATGTTGATACAAATCATGCCAACCAGTTGCAGTACACTCCGTCTGACTGGAAACTGTAAGGAGAATCTGACTTTTTCTTTGGGAGAAGAAACTAAATACTACTGAATTGTCTCAACGCTGTCTCACAAATGTGTTTGACCAATACTTTTTATGTTTAAATCGCTTGCCCTCTGCACTGTATTGTTAAAATCTTACAGGATGTTTGTAAGAACGAATAGACTGCACTCGATGCTGTTGTTTTTTGCGGGGAAGACTGGGGAGCTCTACTGTTTGATAGGTGGTTGAATGTCAACCGCATTTATACACTAAAGGGGTGTGTCTGTCAAATTGTTATCTGCCTTACAATGTATAAAATGCATAATGTATTTAAGGTTTTTAAACCTTTCTCCAAGTATCCCCATGGAAGAATAGGAGGGTGTGAATCAAAGTATATTTCTGCTGGTTGTGACAACTCCCAGGTCTCTGTCCAATCATGGCAAAGAGACAACTGCATCCATGTACAAACCCCTTCAGGACTTCAATCATGTACCTTCTAATAGAAAGTAATAAATGCATTTGTTTCTCTTTGTGGTGTCTGTTTATTGTATTTTCCTCTTGGCCAACCTTGTATTTAAAATCTATCTGTTTTGTGTTTAGAGATTGTTTCCACAGCCTCCAAGTGACCAACAGATAATACTGGCTTACTGAGCTCAAGTTAAAGGGAGAGTTCACCCCCAAATCAGCAATACATATTATTCCTCTTACCCGTAGTGCTGTTTATCAGTCTAGATTATTTTGGTGTGAATTGCTGAGTGTTGCAGATATCAGCCATAGAGACGTCTACCTTCTCTCCAATACAATGGAACTAGATGGCACTCTGCTTGTGGTGCTCAAAGTGCCAAAAAAATACATTTGAAAAGCTCAACAGCAATGTCTCTTTACAGAAATTATGGCTTACAGGTCTTTGTACTATGACGCCAGTTCAGCTTACCCAGGATATCTTATTGTTATCTGGTTTGACTAACCCTAACATTGGCCGTCTGGATAACCGGTGCTACAAAGCTGGTTATCAACTAGTTTAGTCAACTCTGGGTTTTCCTATCCAGCCACCAGCGTGTTCATGTTTTAGAAGCGGGGGTGTTTATTATGAGTGACATCATCAGAACCATGAATGATGTAGGCTACTTCATATCATATGAGATGAAACGGTACCAAAGGTGTCTGGGACTGGGAGACAGTAAAATGTCAGTGGCGTGGGGTGTAAACGAAACATGAAAAACACCATTCAAAAATTCACTGTTGCCCTAGACAAAAATTACGTGTAGGTATCACCAGGCTGCATGTGACAGTATAGAGTATTTTTTGCCCTTTAGTTGGATGATGTCACATAAAACATGTTAAAGTGACATCAGACTGTTTCTGCTACTGAGGTAAAGAGAAGAAAAGTAGTTACTAACTGATGAGATCTATCTGACTCAAATGTGGCATTTATAATAACAAGTGCCAATTAACAGTGTGTGGATTATTTTACTGATAAAATATTATCCATTTTATCCCAGTTCTCATCACGTAGGTGTCTCGTGTTATTCTGAGCTGCAGGGATGGAATCAGAGAAAAATTAGCAACACTGTCACAGTCACTGCAGACTAAAATAAACTTTGCACAAGTTAAAATCCTGTTAAAATCATGTGTTTAGTGTTGTAATCAATCTCTCTGTTAGAAGCTCTGTTTTAAAACCAGTGGAAAAAGACCCCTGGAACAATGAAATGATTCTACTGACCTATAACAATATATAGGCTCCTCTCTTTTTTTTACCTGTCACTTCAGACTTTTGTCCATTGACACTTCTTTCATTAGTGATCTGACTGGTCTGAGGTCGGGGTGTTGACAGGTTGTGATCCGTTACTCTGAGTTCAGTATAAGTTACCACAGTGATTTATCCTGTTTCAAAGAGAACCAGCTTCATGGTACTGAAAACCCAAAGTTAACCCTGAAGTTACCTTGCTAACTCCAGATCCTGCTTCGCAGTACAGGCCTTTGGTTACTCAAGATAATCCACAGACCTTGTTGTAAGCAGTTTCATGGAGGAACTATTTTCTTTCTATCAAACTACACCAACCAACCAGATCACTGCTCAGAAGGAAGAGTGAATCTACACCTCAGCCGAGAAGGACACCATTAATGTTTACATCCCACATTGTCATGAGCACGTCCCTCTCGTCCATGAGTAGATGCACACCTCCTCCTCTAAGTGACATAGTTGGCGGGTATAGTTCGGTAGAAAGAAAATAGTTCCTACAAGAAACTGCTGTTGGAGATGATCGATATTTCCAACACTCGGCAACTCGCACCAAAACAATCTAAATTGATAGATAGCACTACAGGTAAGAGGAGAAACATGTATTTCTGATTGGTGGGTGAACTGTCCCTTTAAAGTTGTGACATATGTGACATATATGTATGCATTTAACAATAATACCATTTAAAACAAACTCTTAAAGAACCTTTATTGCTCATCTTTTCAATCAGTCTCAATGCAGATTACTACAAAAACTGTGCATTTACATACAGTTGTACATGAAATTTCATACAGAGCAAAACAGGAAGTGACATGTTCCTGGTCCATTATGGAAATGGAAGAGAAAAATGCTGGTATTGAGTGATTTTAATAAAGTCCCCGAAACACTATGAAGAGGTAACAGTTGAATTAACGTATTAGACTCGTTGTTCAGACGTCAGATGTCATCACTAACTGTAACTGACATCAACATAACACACCAGAAAGATCAGAAAAGAAAAAAAATACCACAAAAATCATTAACTTGAACATTAGTTTTTTTGGATGGACCACTTTTTCAAAAACTGATGAGATCTTGCAGCACTGGAGCAATAAGCAAATCCCTTTAACGCTGATAGTGCCAAAGCCAAGTGTGAGAGACAAAACAGGCAGAAAACGAGTCAGTAAAGTAAAATCCATTAAACATTTGGTTATACGTGACAACACAGACAATATGGCAAAACATAAAACCCATAAATATTCAGAGCAAACAGGACACAGCACAATTAATGGTCGTCTCTAACAGCAGATTCACCGATGCTGTTCTGGACTTCACCAATGAGGTCGTCTCGAGAGCCTGACGCGCTCTTTCAGGTTTCCTACATGGCAGATTAAAACTTGAGCCCTTGAATTCTTCACACACTGCTAACTGGGGTAACTTGATTTAACTGGTGACAAATTTACATAAATCTTTTATATTCGTTAAAATTTATTCAGAGCTTTTGTTTTGTTTTGGAGCAATACGTCCTGAAGCTGAAACCTGACTTGCTGAAAATGTTAGACCATGACCAAGCCTTTTTCAGTCACATCTGTGAAATCATTTTTAAATATGACTGTCCAGTGTGGACTACTTGCCAGCTCCGAGGTCTTTAAGGTCTAGTGTTTGAATGATAAATTATCCAAAATCATTTTAGCACTTTCACACCAAAGCAGCACAAAGCCAGTTGTTGTATGCATGTACTGTATGTACAGTATATGCCACACATACATACAGATAAATACCTCTGTAACATATAACCATCAGCATGGGCTCAAGGTAAAAATGATTCGCAAATCAGTCCTCTACCTGCATTTAAATTATCGAACTAGTTGTTTAACAAGATCATTTCAGCTGAATATCACCACACTACTTCCACGTACAAAGAAAAGTCAGAACGTGCCAGAACATCCTACACACCAGACGCTGATCTGACAAAGTTACACAGGGTTTAAAATTACCCTTTCATAGGCTTTGTGTGAAGCTACATTTCAGCCTTATTGTACAAATAAAATGTTGCCAACAAATGGCAATACAGGTAAATCAGTTTAACTTACAACTGATTATATCATTAATATTATCGGGAATACATTTATAATCAAAGCCACAATTAATGGTCCTCCTCTGCGTAGATCAGAAACAGCAGAGGTGGGAATGATGCCTGGTCAACAGCTCCTCTTCAGAGGTCTCTTGTGCGACTACAATGTGAAATTGCAGAATTGCTAGAGCTTCATGTTTCTGCAGAGAGGCAGACATATTCATGTGTGATTATAGGAAGCCCGGTTACAGGAGATGGGTGATGATACTTCAATACATTGTGGAAATTCCCCTCTCACATGCCTGATCTTTCTCCCTTTGCTCCGTGAAGTCTTTCCTTCTTTGAGTTACCTATTCAAGCTGTGCCTGTGGACAGAAAAATCAAATCATCACTTAATGATGATGAACAGTCCTACGACTGATGAGGTAAGGGAGATAATGGCTTTGCAGCGGCTGCTACAAAGCTTTGGAAAAGCCTTCCACTCTCAATCAAGGAACATATTTAGGAAGATGTTCTGCTCTGTTGTGTATGCTCTAAAAATCTTAAGAGAGCTGCATGACTGTACTCACCCTCATCTCCATCAGTCAGCACTAGTGCCTGGAGGATATCTGAAAGGGAGACTATTCCTTTCACCACTTCCTGCTCATCCACCACCACCAGCCTGTGCACCTGAAGGACACAAAAGAGGACCATTGTTACTTTTAATTGACGCATGACACTGGTACTATCTACACAAACAGTGACTTGGAGTGTTATTTCATTTCGTTGGCTGCAAGATCTTGTAGACTAAAGCCGGGCTCAGACTAATGGAGTTTTAAAATCCTAACAAATTTTGATAGAAGGTTGTGTCATGCACATAAGGACAAACTTCACATCTGTTCTTCTTCCTAATCTTAAAACATGCACACACTACAAAATTTGAAAATAATGGCACATAACACATTAAAGATATTAAGATTATCATGTCAGAGGGAGCATGAATGTACTACCTCATGTGATCTCATTTGGAGGGCTGACGTAAAGAAAATGGAAACTGGTGTGGTGCAACAATTTGTTGTAATGTTAACAATGCATTGCAGTTGGGGCGTCGGTGGCTTGGTCGATAGAGCAGGTGACCCATGTACAAGGCTGTTGCCGCAGCAGCCCAGGTTCCAAGTCCAGCCTGTGGCCCTTTGCTGCATGTCATTCTCCCCCCCCCCCCCCCCAAAAATATATCTTTTAAAAAAACAAAAAAAAAAACCAATGCATTGCAGTGAGAAAATCAAAAGCAGAAAGCAAAAACTTGTCTGGATGAGAAAATGGTTACAGAGACACGGTCAACACGGGTTGTCTATTCTTCATCTAGAACTGGAGGCGACATTCTAACTGTCAGTTTTATTATCTGTCAACAGTTGTGTGCTAGTTAACGTTAGCCTCAACACTTGTCAACACAGTCAGCTGCTCCGTACTGACATAATAACTGTAATCATCCACATTTTAAAATCTAAATATCAAATCTGTTTAAAATTATCGGTGCAGCCTCCAACAAGCCCATGAGCAGTTCAGGAGGTTTAAGACTGGATCTATGGCCTTTTTCATTACCAGATAAACCAGTATCGACAGACATCCCCCAACAGATTTCTCCTCCGATTGTCAGAAGGGGTGAATCAGGGATAAATCAGCCCTGAACTCCTGTATTGTGAGCCCGGTTTAAGCTGTTCAGTCTTTAGCAACAGTCATCCCGTGTAGTGATGACATACTGAGGGGTAGATGTGGGCAAAACATGTCAATCAGCTGTAAAACATGTTTTTGACTTGCCAAAGAGTTCCTATACCGTGCAAAGCTGGTTGCTACCTTAGCTCATTTTCAGGTAGTGTTTGATGTGTCCTTCTATTTAGGACTTCAGTTTAAAAAGAATAATTAAGTGTGGAGTAACATTATATATTAACCAAAAACAAGAGGGGTCAAACCAGCCGCAACAGACAACTACTGTGTGACACATGATGACATCCAACTCTCACCTCTGCCTCGACCAGTCTGTTGATGATGGCTTCCAGGGTCTCGTGCCTGTTGCAGGTCAGCACTCCTTCAAAGTACTGCGAGCGGTGCTGCAAGGCTTTGGTCACTGTCACATCCAAGTTGTTGTACGTCTTCTCTGCGGCCAGGTTCTGTATAAACACAGGTTAGCAATGTTTCTTCATCTTACATTGCACAATAAATAGTTTAAAAGAAATATAGTTAAAATTTTAGCCATGAGATTCATGTGCCAGAATCCCATTAATTTAATTTTACATGTAAGGTTGAGTGATACTGATAAATCACCCTATATGTCATTTATATTGAGAGTATCTGTTTGTGGCTCATCCAGTGAATTTAATACCTAATAAATGAAAATAATCTATCACATTTAAGCCAAAAACTGTAAATTAGAATTTGCCATTAAGAAGCCTTGCTCACTGATTTGCACATTGTCCACAGTAACATGGGAAAAATACCTAGCTGTGAACTGTTTTAGAACGAGAGAAAAAAAGGACAAATGTCTATTGCCAAACTGTACTTTAAATATTACAGCTACAATGATTACTCAATTAATGGATCAAAAGAGAATAGATTGTAAACTATTTTGCGCATAGATAGATAGATTATGAGATGCATAGATTATGCATTTTCAGCTGAAGTTTTGCTGGTTTAAGTTTCTCATCTGTGAGAATTTGATGTTTTTCTTTGACATATCTGGTTGTAAACTGAATGTTTTGGGGCTTTGGGCTTTGATAAAAAAAAAAAAAGCTAGCTATCTGAATGCATAATGTCTGGCTTTGGGGAATTCTAGCAGGCACCTTTCACTATTTAAAGATAAGATGAAACTTACTATAACATCAAATTTTGAGTATATATCCACGACTCGACCTGCAGGAGAGAGGCAGCGTATCAATAAACAAACAAACAAAATTAAAGTGGACTCCGGTCATTAATGCAAAATCAACAAGGATGTCATTTCAATCAGCCCACATACCTTTGTCATCCACAACGGGGAGCGCAGACACTCGCTGCTCTACAAAAATACCCAGCGCTGTGTACAGCGGTGTGTCTGCACGGACCACCGCTATGTTCCGGAATGTTCCGATGTTCAGGTCCTCTAAGGTTTGTCTCAAGAATGAGGGTTTTGGCATTTCTGCTATCTGAAACAATAACAAGAGAGTGTGTACACTTGATTAAAAGTGTAGGGGAATGGATGTCTTTGTAAAATAGTTTTTAATTAACTATTTTACTTAACTGTAGCTGATAGTTTTAACTCTGTACCAGCCATTTGCTGTGTTATAAGATTCAAACACTGAAAATAATTTAAAGTATTCAATGTAAAAGTAGTGAGGAGAGAAACCACAGAGACTTACAAAAAGCTTCAGGAACTTGAGAATCCTCTTGTGTGTGAGAATATAGAGCGTGTTTCCTGTCAGGGGGTCAATTACAGGCAGTCTGTGGATCTTATTCTTCAGCAGAGATGAGACTGCGTCATACAAACTGTGACACAGAGACATTAAGAGAGGACCAAGTTAATTAAGTTATATTGGACGCAACATGTAGTGAAATGAGATAGCTAAATAAAAGAAAGTGAAAGGGAAACCAGTGAAGGAATAGTTTCTAATGTTGGCTTGTCAGCTGTTGACAAGAAATAACTTCCAAGTGTAAGTTAGGTGAAGCATTTGTACAATAAATATTATGGGTACAAACACACGTTAAAACTAAAATACTGATAACTTCATGCAGTAATTAATAAGTTTCTATCAAACACAAAAATATGGAAAAGCTGCATGCAGCCACAGCGAATTTCCAGGCAGTGTTTGATGTCTGCCTCTATCAACAGAGACTCTGGTCAAAACAATAAGATGTGGAGAAACATTTCTGGCGCCTATTTGTACTTCCCTGCTGAGCACAGGCCAGGTTTAATGAGTTACTGCCACAGACTAAACCATCAGAAGTTTAAGTGAAGTTTGACACCAACAACAAAATATAGATGCTTTAAAATGTACTGTCAGACCGAGCGTTAACTAAAAAAAAAACTCACCTTGCGTTGGGAGATATGCTAACCAAGGGCTTAAAAGAGTCTTGAAGGTACAGCTCTATTACAAATGAGAACAGACAGCTTTGTCAAGACCTTTACACAAGTCAATTAAAAGAATGCATAACATATTTATTAAACTTTCTCACCTCTCCATGTTTCAATTTTGTGTTCTTCCAACTCATATATCTGAACCTGAGAGATTAGAAAGAGCCTGTTAACATATTTATGAGGGATTAAGAAAGAAATCAAGACAAGACCACATTCTGCATCGTCTTAGTTTAAACCCTACCCATAGCAACATAAGCCTGTAGTTCAACGCAGACATGTAATATGTTACACCTACGGTAATCTTACAGTTTAAGGTCTATATCCATTTGCTGTCCACTGTCTTACCAGTGGAGATTTGTAGTAGCGATGTAGGATGTTAATGAAGTCTGTGATGGTCAGCATACCTGCAGAGACACATGAGGAGAATCAGGTCAGTCCTTTCTTTAATTTCGTCTTACCAAGAGTGAAAGTGTGCCAAATGAAATTTGAACTCACCAACGAAGCACTGCTTCTTGCTGTCCCACAGAGGTGCTGCTCTTACCCCATTGGAAACAAGAGCAAAAAATGCCTTCTTGACCTGTAAGATTAATTATACCACATGTTTCAGTGTAAATTAGCAGGTGAGAGATAGAGTCAGTTATTCAAGTCTTGAGCTTTTGTTTTACCTGAAGCGATGTATCAAACACAACCAGTTTGGAGCTGGTAGGTACGAGGTCATAACACCGGTGGGACTTCATAAACCGGGTGTACACATTGTGCTCTGGGTCTGAAGGAATGTGAGAAACTATTAGAGACACACTGTTTTTCTATGTCTGTGTTGCTCATTTTGGTCTCATTAGATTTGTATGAGTCCTTTACCCTCTATGACTGGGTCCTTTTTGCCCTCAAGATCATCAATGGTCACTGGAATCTGAAATTAAAAGATAAAGGTCATTATATGTCTGTTTGACCTCTAAAATAAAAAGTGAATGTGAATATGAAGGCTCTGCTGTATACAAAACCCTGCATGACAGATAAAATAAAAATAAGCCCCAGCTTAGTTAAATGTAAATAAGCCCATCAGTGTGACATGCTAACAAACAGACCTTTGTCAAAGCAGACATTTTGGCCTGATATATCAGGAAACACACAGGTGTTACTAATGACACTAACATGGCTCTGTTCCATTCAGAAGTCGCAGTGAGTGTAACAGTGACCACTCATGCAAAATACTAGGAGCCTGAAATCAGAGCAGCTAACTGGAACCCAGCCATCGCTAATGTCTTTATTTACGCTTGTGCTTTCCCTACTGTGACATGTAAAAATGTCCTCCGTGAGGCGGTTAGGTTCAACCACTTACCAAGGTTAAGTTAATGTATATTGTTAGGTTAAGATAAGAATGATTTGGTTCAGATAAAGTCAAAGGGTTACTGTATGGATGTGTAACTTAGTGTAGATATGCTAAACTCTTACACTGTGGACACGTAAGTCAGCTGATTAGTTGAACATCCAAAAGCCTCAGCTCAGCATAACTGTTTACTTGAGTACATGTTGTTTCTTATTCTGCCATTATAAAAGGTTATTTTGACACTACTGCTGTAATTTAACGGTGTCTGGTTGTCAACCCGACAGACAGTGTAACGTTACTCGCTTTTGAAGTTATGTGCAACATGAATAACGTTATCCTAACGCGAGCTAAGCATTAGCATCGAGCTAGCTACCGTCACAGTCTGTTGACATTAAGGAGCCATTCGAGGTGACTTCTTATTTTGGCTCTGTTTTTTTCTTACATCGGCTACCCTTATAAGGCAATATGTGGTACACTGTTTTGTTTAACGTGAAGTAACTAATGTTAGTCAACCGACACCAAGACTGAAACCATAGTTACATTCTTCACGGGCACAAATATGTGCTGACCACCGTTATTGACAAAAGAGCTAGCCTGAGAACTAACGTTACTCTGTCAAGAATTAGCTAACGTTGGTTAGCTGTTACCGTTAGCATGCTTCGGGAAAGTCACGTTAGCTAACTTAGGTGGAGGTTATTAGAAAGCTAATGGTCTATACAAGGTTAAGTTAGCTGGATAACTTACACACTCCATATTCCATTCGCCGTGTCGCCTTCCTGTTGCCGGGTTGGTTCACACAACCACACAGATCTTCCGCTACAACTTCAGACGAGCAATGTGAATGGCTGTCGAGTCTTTACCGTAGTACCTGTAGTATTACCGCACCACAACTTCATGTCTGAAGCGCACTATAAATTAAACTCCATGCTGTGTCTCTGTGTATGGCTCAAGGTAGATGGGGCTATATATTGTTAAAAATATATATATTATAATATAAATAAATATAAATTGAAAAGACTATTCCGTGACAGGCAACAATGCACTGCTAATAATCATGTAATCCTGATTATAAATAAACTTCACAAATTGTCATTAACATTACAGCAGGTGGCACAGTGCACTGCAGTCCTGTGTGTGGTTTGTCCAAGTAACATTGCTGTACCCCAGTAGAACACAGCTCATGAGTATTGGTAATGTCTTAAATATGTTTGTCAGATAGCCCATGTATAGTCTGATTAAAGTGTGAATCATTTATGTCGCGCTGCATGTGTACTTTATATAGACAGCAGTTGTAGTAGGCAGATCCCGCAGTGTTGACTCCATGGCTATGGCCTTGGTATGGCCACATACAGTAAAACTTAAATTAATAGCCCAGGCTATTACTTGCTTAAATCACTTAAGTTAACAGGCTTATATTTGGGACAGGCGTCTATATGGGACAGGCCTTTAATTCCTTTCATACAAAACTGTCGCTCAGCAAAGATGGGAAATATGATCAAATTGTTTATTTCAGCTTTTATGAATATTACTTGTACAAAAACTAGGCTTTGAATAACAACAGTTATAACACTTGTTTCACGGCACCCAGCATGCTGACACACTTTATCCTGCCAAAACAATATTCATAACTTTTGATCGGCTGACCTTTACGGACTCAAGGAATAGACACAAATTCTGACTTTATGACAGCTTTAGAGTTAACATAGGGAGTCACCACTTTTATTTTCATCATTTCATCAGTACATCTGAATGACTTACAGTTATCTCTGGTGCTCATGGTTTCAGTAAAATGAACTGAACTATGTGCAGTATCTCCATATTGACAAATGTTTAAACATTTGTATCTGTATGTGTGTTCTAAGCAGCTACCTAATGTGAGCTCAAGTGGGTAGTCAACAATCCAAAGACCTTCCATAAAAATGAACCGCTTGGCAACCAGACCAGGCATCTAATTAAAACAGGCCTTTACTTGTCAAAATGTATAGCTACACCAGGCTAGTAGAAGGGACTGGGTGTTAAAGTGTGAATAGGCTTTTATTAAGGGTGGAAGTGAAGTTACAGTGTAGCCCAGTGATGAACTAACTCGTTATTGTAGTACATCAACAAATGCGCTCCTGCTGTGCACTGTGCTGTCATTTACTGTATAAGCAACCTTGCTTTGTGCCACTTTTAACTACCTACATCATGCGGCCAAAATCAGCACAATGACGCATCAAATGAGTAACAGATTTATTTATATACAAAACTGTTTACAGCAAGTTTTCTGAATTAACATTGACCCACAAGGGGAAATTGGTGTTGAGGTGCACACCGCCACCTGCACCACAGTATCAAGTCAACAGAAGGGGAAAAAAAACCTTTAAGAGCACCTTGAGTCATTAAGGGAAGCAGATAAGGGAGTTTGAGGAACTGTAAGGCACAAGACACAGCATCACCAGCTTCTGTTCAACCATCATCAGTCAATCAACTACTTACTCAGCAAAGCACTTGATAAAAAAGTTACAATTACCCACTACAGGTACAACATGAGGATTATGGGGGGAAATCCACATTGTGTCGTGTCTTTGTAAGGCTACATGATCTAAGGAAAACAAAGTTATTAAGGATCAGTGATCAGACAGCGATCATGCAAGTCCACAATGTAAATTGAATGGACTACATGCCAGCCTGGCTTGTTTCCATCAAGCCTGCATGCACCATCAAATCAAAACCATGAGCTCAAAGATTACTGAACTAACTCTGTAGCCTCCAGCCACTTAAATAGTCTTACGCAGTGTTAAAACACAATTAAAAAATTGCAACTCAACAATGTTCATAATTACAACGCACTTAGAAGAATATACTCTACTTAGGATACTGAAGGGAGAGCAAACCTGCACCACTCAAAATATAACCAATAGTATCAAACCAATTTCTAAGATTCTAGTTATATTGTATAAAAAGGCCATAACTGGTAAATACCAAAGATCTATTCCAGTCTACGCTAAATTTCTCTGAGGGTTGTCCATAAGATACCATCTTTATTACAGTCAATAAGGAGAAGTTAAACTGTAGAAACAATGGCAGAGAACTAATCTGCTTAGCAGAGGAGCATAAGATGTAAGTTATGATATACAAATAGATTCCTCCATCGTGAAGACGCAGTTCATGAGTTCATTGGTGAGAGGTACCTGAAGAGGAGTTGATAAAAATTACAGTGAGAAGAACTGTGAAACCAGCAAGATTTCATATGTGAAATCTCATTCCAGAGTGTTTGAGGAAATCCACCATCTGTGAGAGATACTGACATTTTAACACCACATTTAAAGCAATGTGAACTGTGACTTTCCATCACTGTCAAAAAAAAGACCTGCTGAAATTATACCAGTCTTTAAAAAGGTTATTCACCAGCCCTTACTGTACATTAACTCAACTACTCAAATAGTAATGAGACAGAGGCCAATGTTGTCTCAAACATCAGATTCACAAATAGTTATTACCGCAATACATTCACAAAAAAAAAAAAAAAAAAAAAAATTAATGCAATTAATTGGAACCAATATGTTTGGTAATTTTTTTTTGTTTGTTTTCTGAGCATTTGGTTGAACTCAAAGTCAACATTTTGCCCAGCTACAGATTACAATTCAATATTTAAACAAAGTGTTCACCGACTGTGCTTCTTTGTCAAAACAAAGATTTATCTTGCTTTTTAGAAACGTCTCCCTGTGGTTACAATTAGTGGGATAGTTTATCAACTGTCTGGGCAGTTGCCTTGCTATGTAAATCAATCAGGTATCACAATGGAGCAGAAGAGTTCCACTGCAGTGTCTTGGTGTCGGTGAGGTCACTATTGGCAAGCTGGTGAAGTTGTGCCTCCTGTCTTCAGCAGACGAGCTTACTGATGTCCTGGATACACTTTTACATCACAGCACACTTCTTCTCCTCGGGTGGTGCGTTTCCATCAGCTTTCTCCATCTCCAAAATGATCCGCTTGAAAACCTCCACAGCAGTCTAAATATCAAGAATATCGTCATCAGTGTGTGAATCTGTGTCAGAGTTAATACGTAGACTGCATCACATGAGTTGGTATTCAAAGAGATATCTATCATTACATCATTCTCCTTGGCTGAGGACTCCATGAATGCAGCACCCCAGGAATCAGCAAGTTTCTTTCCCTCCTCTGGTTTGATAACCCTGGGAAAATGACATGAGGTGAAACTTTTATACTGTGTCAGGCTGCACAGACAATGCACGTTAATATGATCAGGTCATTGTTGGTTTTGCTCTTTAATGGGATTTGTTGACACAAAGAGAGAGACAGAATGTCACCAGACTTTTTTTTTTTTTTTAAGGTATTTTTCTGGGCATTTTAGCCTTTAACTGACAGGACAGGTGAGTGTGAAAGGGGGAAAGAGAGGGAGAGTGACATACAGCAAAGGGCCACGAGCTGGACTCGAACCCGGGCCGCTGCGGCAACAGCCTTGTACATGGGGTGCCTGCTCTATCCACTAAGCCACCGACACCCCAATGTGACCAGACTTATCCTTTTACTCGCTTGTCATTACATGTTCATGTTGAATTATACTGAGTCTTTTTTTAAGACCAAAAAGCCTATACTTTATATTCTAAAGACACTCAATAATTTTGATTACCTTTCCATGTGGAGATCTTTTTTGTTCCCTACAAGAACAGTTGGAGCCCTGAAAAGAAAAATGAAAACTGCTTTTTAAAAAAAAATCTCTTGAAAAACAAGACAATTTTGGAAGTGTTGAATTTAAGGATCCAACTACAACTTACTGCATCTTCCCAACCACGTCTAGCAGCTTGTCATGTAGAGCCTGCACAACTTCAAAACTGAAGAGAGACACACATCAATCATACACATGTAATTTTACAACTTCTATTCTATTCACACTCTCTTGATGCACAAATTGAGGCTACTGGTCAGATTACATTTCACTGGAGTTGTACCTTTTACGATTACATGTGACAATAAAGAAAAAACATGCTATTATCAACTGTAAGACACATATGGTGTTGTCTACCTAACATAGTGTTTTAAGACTTTTTAAGGAGAACACTGGCTGAATTGCGAACTCCACTATGTCATGAACATGAGCTACGCTCTCTTAAAGCCAGAGACCAGGGGCTGTATTCACAAACATTCTGAGAACCCTCCTAGAAAGCTCCTGTCTTTGCCTAAAAGCTTTTAGTAAGGAGTCCTAGCTTATGAGTGATTTAGGAAAGTTGTTGGAGCAACTCTGAGCAAGGCAGGGACAGAAACTTTAATCTTAGTGAGGAGGTGTGGTTGACCCCGTTGCTAGGTATGATGCATTCTTTCAACAGGTGTGATTGGTTGTCACAGACACACCCTTCTGCGAGCCTGCCAGGTGTGAACACCCAGTGGAAATGAAATGAACTGCTGACTGTGAAAGTGTTGTCATTGTTACTGTGATCACTCTGCTGATGGAAGGTTGAGACAGACTGAAGTCATCACTGCTGCACTGTTGCATTTTTCCAGTTCTCTGTCCTAGTATTGTGATCATTTTATTGCGTTGGATCGACTACAAATATTATCCCTGCACGATCTAATCTGTAGCATTTCATTTACCCACTGTCATACCGCGTTGGGAGAATATTTCTCCAACCTCTTTGTGTTTCTGCCATTTTCTCCTCTGTTTAGGAAACTCTTAAGCCTCTTAAAAGTCCTCCTCCCTGCTCCTAACAGTTTTTCACCTTGGGAGCTTTTTACGGTCTGAGATGCTCTGTGAAAAACTTTCATCTTTACAAGGACCTAGTTAACTTTAACTAGGAGTAACTCTTAGCACTAGGAAGCTTTGTGAATACAGCCA